GCCATCTGGTATTTGCTGTTGATATGCTGCATATGATATGCTTGGAAAAATACTAGAATGTGAGACTATTAGGTGATAGTGGCTGACAAGTAGTTTACAACATACGGATGTGAGAAATCCAATCATTTTGTAATTAAATGTTCCCTTTCAATACTTTGAAAGTTTGAATTTCAAGTCATTCAGCATGTGCAACATTGATTGGAAGGAACTGGTTATTTCAAGCTTTAGGATTTGTTTTGTCCAGCCCTGTATATCTGGGATTGAAAAGAACAGTGTTGTGGGGACCACCTAATGGCCTTAGCACAGATGAACACTTTACCCACTAAAATGGCAATTGCTCAATTTTTCAAGTCAATGCATAAATTCACTAAGACCCCCTAGACATCACCACCTTCTCAACCCATGATTACTAGCAAATAGAAAGGCAAAGGCAGCAGATATACAGGAACACAATACCTGCAATTTCCCCATAATGCTGTTCACCATTCTGACGTGGAAATATATCCCTGTTGCTGGATCAAAATCCTGGAACTCCCATCCGTAACAGCACTGTAGGTGTATCTACATCAAATGGACTTCAAGAAAGCAGCTCACCATCACCCCTAAGAGCAACTAGGAACGGGCAACAATTGCAGGTTCATTCGGTGACACCCACATCCCATGAATGGGAAAAAAAAAGACTTGTTGTGAATGACTTTTTCTTTACCTTCCATGCTTCCATGATGGGCAGCATATAGTTCGATGCCTAATATTCACTCACTTGTTTAATTTTCTTTTTCACTGTTAGCTGCTGCCATATTGTGAGGAGCGGTGAGTGAAATATAAGCAAAGGTTCCTTGAGGAATTGGAAAATTGCTGATCATGTTCACCCTCTTGTGGTCATTGTGATAGTTTCATCATAAAATGAACTGAGACAAATTTGTATATATCATTGTTGGAACCTGAACTGCCTTCGCTTGAGTGAAGTCTTTTGCCTTAATGTTGGGAGAAAAATGATCTTAGTGACAGGGAAGAAAACAATGCAAAGAACTCTCTGGTGTGGACTGCATTTCTTGGGACAGCAGTTTGGTTTAGCCAGTTTTATGTGAATCCATTTTTACCTGTACTTGTACAATTTTTTTTTTGTTTAAAATGACGATGTATATGATATTTCTAGAGCTGGAGGGAAATAATTATCTGTTTTGTTTGAACTTTTAAAATAAAGGCTTTTCAGTTTTCGCCACTGAAATTTGTTTGCGTTGTTTGTTTGTTTGTGTTGGATGCCATCTGGTGGCTTCAGCATAGTTTAGCATCTTACCGCTAAAACAAAGTTTTTGATTTTGAAGACGTTATACTCCTATCATCAAAGTATGAATGCTTCTATACCAAATCTATACCGAACAGCGTGGCACGTTTGATGTGATGCCCAAGAGGTTTATTATGCATAAAAAGCTACATCAGCGATTCAATGAAAATATGCTAGTATGAATTGAGATTGCTTAGAATTGTAAGGTCCCACTAATTGCTTGTTAAATGATTTCTACCACCGTGTAATTATTTTCTGTCTAAATAACAGTTTCCATTCCTGTAGTGTATTTAACATAGTAAAATGTTCCAAGGTACTTCATTGGAATGACCAGGTGAGGGGTCTTCTGGGAGTGAGGGTGGTAATAGCATCAAAATTGGAAGTTGGGCTGTGACAGAGGAGATTCTTGACTAAATTTAGTCGAATAGATGGCCAAAAGCTAGATGTTTAGGAATTTTGGGAGTTCTTTTTGCAGTTGACTTATGGGAGAAGGTGTAGTTGCTGATAGATACAAGAACGTAACATGATAGCTTTTCCTTTGTGATTGAGACTCGAGCAACAGAGCGGTTATGTGTGAAGTTGGAGAGACAGAGCCTATGACGTTGAAGGTGGAAGGAGTAAATGTGACAGGAAGTTGACATGATTGCCCTGAGTGGGCATGGGAAGGTCAACAACAGTGGAGAATAAGGCAATTGGATGTGCTGTGCCTCAGTGGCCCTTTGGCAAAAGCAAAAAGTGATACTGAGTGAAGCTGCAGCTTATCCAAGTGAAACCAAAATCGTGAACACAGGTCAGTAGGAATATCGAGGCATGATGAATGCTTGAAGAGATATTTATAATTATTAAGTCCCAGGCAGGGGAGAAATCAAAGGGAGCAAGACCAAGTAACAAAGGCAAGGTTACAAGAGAGGGGCAAAGTGGAGGTAAAGAGACAAAAAAAAAGGGGCAAATAGTTGTAATAAATTCTGGTCAGGAGCAACTGTCAAATGTGTGTGCAAATAGACAAAGGAAAACTCTGATCACATAAGTATATCAAAGATTAGGATTGATATTCTCTCTGGTAATAAATGGACAAATTATCATCATTATCTTTGGGACCTTTTGACTTTTTGGACTTTAGGTTCAACAAGACAAAGTTTACTTCATGCTGCTCATAACATATTGCTCTCCAGTATGTGATAAATCAGTAATTTTTCATATTGAGCATTAATTGGAATGTAGTTTTGAGGGAAGCAAAAGTACAGAATATATTCTGGTTTGGATTATTTTGCCTCTGCCATTACTTAGTAAGCGATGCCTCTGGATCTTTTGAAACAACCTGTTCAGCTGGGGCTTGAACCCAGGTTCTTGATCAGTTGAGGAATCAGGGTTATGGGCAAAGGACAGAAAAATGGACCTAAGGAGTGTCAGATCTTTCAGGATACTTTGGCAGAGCAGCCTCGAGGTGCCAAACAGCCTGTTCCAGTTCCTGTTCCTATTTCTTGTGTCTTAGTTAGAAAGTATAAATTGCCTACAGAAGTAGTGTTTAATCGGTGCTGCTTTTTACTTTGATTATTGCAATACAGCATTTAACTTGGAATACTGTTGTAGCTGAAACTTCAAATATCTTTTTAAAAGTCATCAGTCTCCAAGGGATTATGGCCCTACTGTCGCTCAACACTGGTGCCAAAGGAATTGCAGAGCCCAATGGATTATGAGAAGATGGGAGAATTGGAAATAACTCCACGTTTAACATGTTATCAATAGATGAAAGTGGAAAATTAACAGATCAGAGGTCTATTAAGCTGAGCTCTACAGCTGAAGAGAAGTTCATTATCAATTAACTTCTGATTGACAAAAGTTGCAAATGGAGCTGAACACTGAAAACATTTGCAAAAACATTTGGATCAGAAATTGGCTAGCTGTAAGAAGACAGAGGGTGGTGGTTGATGGGAAATGTTCATCCTGGAGTTCAGTTACTAGTGGTGTACCTCAAGGATCTGTTTTGGGGCCACTGCTGTTTGTCATTTTTATAAATGACCTGGATGAGGGCGTAGAAGGATGGGTTAGTAAATTTGCAGATGACACAAAAGTTGGTGGAGTTGTGGATAGTGTGGAAGGATGTTGCAGGTTACAGAGGGACATAGATAAGCTGCAGAGCTGGGCTGAGAGGTGGCAAATGGAGTTTAATGTGGAAAAGTGTGAGGTGATTCACTTTGGAAGGAGTAACAGGAATACAGAGTACTGGGCTAATGGTAAGATTCTTGGTAGTGTGGATGAGCAGAGATATCTCGGTGTCCATGTGCATAGATCACTGAAAGTTGCCACCCAGGTTGATAGCGTTGTTAAGAAGGCGTACAGTATGCTAGGTTTTATTGGTAGAGGGATTGAGTTTCGGAGCCGTGAGGTCATGTTGCAGCTGTACAAAACTCTGGTGCGGCCGCACTTGGAGTATTGTGTACAGTTCTGGTCACCGCATTGTGGGAAGGATGTGGAAGCATTGGAAAGGGTGCAGAGGAGATTTACCAGGATGTTGCCTGGTATGGAGGGAAGGTCTTATGAGGAAAGGCTGAGGGTCTTGAGGCTGTTTTTGTTAGAGAGAAGAAGGTTAAGAGGTGACTTGATAGAGACATACAAGATGATCAGAGGATTAGATAGGGTGGACAGTGGGAGCCTTTTTCCTCGGATGGTGATGGCTAGCACGAGGGGACATAGCTTTAAATTGAGGGGTGATAGATATAGGACAGATGTCAGAGGTAGGTTCTTTACTCAGAGAGTAGTAAGGGCGTGGAATGCCCTGCCTGCAAAAATAGTAGACTCGCCCACTTTAAGGGCATTTAAATGGTCATTGGATAAACATATGGATGATAATGGAATAGTTTAGGTTAGATGGGCTTCAGATTGGTTTCACAGGTCGGCGCAACATCGAGGGCCGAAGGGCCAGTACTGCGCTGTAATGTTCTATGTTCTATGTTCAAACAATGCCCCTCTCAACCTATAACTCAGAAGGTAATTGAAGTAGATGGAGATGTTGGGACGACTTGCACTGTTGGAGAATAGCTTGTCATTGGTATTGATTTTGAGGCAGAGACAATTCTATCTTTTTCATGGAGCATTGGATACATAATTCAAACGGGTACAACTACCAAAGAGGAGTAGGGCAGTAGGATGATTTCATAGAATGATGTAGTAGAGCACCAGCATTGGTAAGATGGCCAATATAGCTTGCTTCTAGTTTCAGTCAGTAATGTAATTACTCAGTATGGAATGGAGAGCTTTATTTTTCAGCATACTTTAGATGTAAGAAGTCCTGACCTTTTTCTGACTTGGGAAGAAGGTGGAATTTTGAAGATGGGAGCTCTTCACTAATTTGTTTTCTTTTTCTGAAAGGACTTGAACTTGTACATCTTTCAGCTTCTGTAATGACTACTCACTTCACAGACCCAGTTAAAGACTCTGTTTCTCTTCGTTGCTCCCCTGCCATGTTGTGTGCAATAGTCTGTCTGGAGACAAAAAAAACAGTGGGATTTTGAAGCTTAAAGATTGTGCAGCTTAAATGCTACAAAGAAGCCTGCTCAAAGCTATAAAGTGCTGTTTTCTTATTTTGCTGATTGTCTTATCTTTTCTTTGTCTTTGTCTTTGTTTATCCAATGGGGATAATCAATTTCTGATAATATTTTCATTGTTTTTCACTTATAAGCTGACTATTTGTTTCAATTTCCTTCTTCCCTACCAGGTGTTTTGTTGGCGATCTTCAAGCTGCTTCATTAAACAGTGTCGGTGGGCTTATGGCCGTCAGGTCTTCGTGTCAGACATTGCTTTGAGCAAACATGAAATGATTTTTGTAACACAAGATGGCGATGGGTTTACGGGACACTGGGCAGGAGCAGAAAAAACAAATTTGGAAAAAAAAGGTAAAGACTACAACCTTGTTGCTCTTTGTGATTAATTTCCTTAAGTGAGTTTAAGTTAAATGTCAGTCAAAGTTAATCCAGGAGTATGTCTGTCTAGGCTGGCGGCTCAGTGGTTAGCCCTGCTGCTTCACAGTGCCAAGAAATGTGGGTGACTGTCTGTCTGTGTGAAGTTTGGACATTCTCCCCGTGTCTGCACAGGTTTCCTCCAGGTGCTCTAGTTTCCTCCCACAGTCCAAAGATGTGCAGGTTAGGTAGATTGGCCTGGTAAATGTGGGGCTATGGGGATATGGTAGTGGACTGGGGTGCTCTTCGAAGGTGCAGTGTAGACTCAATAGGCTGGCCTCTTTCCACACTGTAGGGATTCTGTGACTCTGATTTATGAAGTTATTTGATGAATGCATTGTGTTTTTTTTTAACATCTCAAACTGGTGTCTGTGTAATTGGTTATCCTTTAAGCATATGTGTTGTAAATGCAGATGTTACATGTCTTAATGTGGATGGTAGTCTGTATGAAGCCCACCCCACCACCCCTGAGTGTTAGTGAGAGTACTCTTCATATTTGATTCAATAACCTCCAATCCTGGGCCCAGATGAGACATATCTCAACCTGATGTGAGAGGCAATTACAGGGGCTCTGACATTAATTTTCAAATCCTCTCTGGTCAAAGAAGTGGTGCCAGAGTACTACAGGATGATCCATGTGGTTTCATTCATCGCGAAGGATGGTAGGAATAAGCCAGGAGACTATGAACCAGTGAGTCTAACATCTGTGGCAGGGAAACAATTGAATAAAATCTGAGGGGCAGTATTAATCTCTACTTGGAGAGGTGAGGATTAATCAAGGATAGTTAAGATGGTTTTGTAAGTGGGAGATCATGCCAGCAAATGTGATTGAACTTTTCAAGGTGGTAACTGGCAATGCAGATGAGGGTCACACGCTTCATGTCTACATGGACTTGAGTAAGACTTTTGACCAAGGTCTTGCATGGCAGAGTGGTTAAGAATCAAGAGCCATGGGATCTAGAGCAATTTGACAAATTGGGTCCAAAATTGACTAAGTGGCAGGAAGCAGAGGGTGATGGTCAGTGTTTTTGTGACTGGAAGCTTGTGTCCATTGGCATACCGCAGGATTCAGTGCTGGGTCCCTTGCTGTTTGTTGTGTATCCTAATGATCCAGACATGAATGAAGGAGGTATGATCAGTAAATTCACAGATGATGCGAAAATTGGTATGGTAAGTCATGAGGATGGAAGTCTTGGACTACAGGATTGTATAGATGGACTGGTCAAATAGGTTAGACAGTGGCAAGTAGATTTTAATCCTGAAAAGTGTGAGGTGATGCATTTTGGAAGGGCGAAGAAAGCAAGAAGAACATAATCTTACAGCACAGAAATGGACCCTTCAGGCCAATTCGTCCGTGCTGGCCAGACATCTCAATCTGACCTGGTCCCATTTGTCAGCATTTGGTCCATAGCCCTCCAATCTCTTCCTGTTCATATATCCATCCAGATGCCTTTGTAAATGTTGTAATTATACCTGCCTGCACTTACTGTGACAGCTCGTTCCATACACACACACCAACACCACTCTCTCTCTGCTTTGGAATCTCAATGCCAGGTTTCTTTCCTTCCTGCCTTCCTGCCTTCCTTCCTTCCCCCCCACCCCCTCTCTAGAGAAACTACTGCAATGGTGACTATGCCATCCGACAGATGTTAAATTAATACCCTGCATCTGTCTTTATCTACGAAGCCAGGTCATGATGATAGAGGATTGCCTGGATGTGTGGTGGAGGCAGGTTCAATTGAGACATTCAGGAGGACGTTGAACATTTGAAGTAGAAACATTTGTGCATGGCTTTGGGGGAAAAAGCAGGAGAGTGGCGCTGTGTTAAACTGCTGAGAGCCAGTGCAAACGTGATGGTCCAAACGGCCACCTTTTGCCCCACAACAATTGTGTGATGTGGCAAAAAATCAAAGGGAACAAGTTTCACTTTGCTACAAAAAACATCTCCAAGAAATACTCAGCATATTTATGTAGACCAAACTTAACTTAAACCAGATGTTTGGGGAAGAAGAAAACATTGATTCACTCAACTTGTCACAGTGTGGACAGTTCAAAAAAGATGTTTTGTATGGGTTTGCAAATATTTTGTAGCAAGATAGGTATATAAAATGAATAACTGGATAGTAACCTTTTAAACTACACAAGAGAAACATCTCCATTTGGGCATACTTAAAATGAGATATAGCTGTATCAATCATTGCATGTGTTTAGGGTAATAAAACTAGGAGATACTACGTACTTAAATGCTTGTTTTTTTTCTTGCAGGCATGTTTTTTGTCAAAGGTAGTTGGTGGTGTGGATGGTTATAGTTTGAGATATTTGTTTTCTTTCTTTACAGATTAGTGGTGGAAAGAAAGGAATTATTGAAAAAGAATTTAGTTTTCCTATTTTACATTTCCACTTTAGAAGTTGATGTCTGTTTGTCACAGTGGATTGTTTTAATATCCAGATTACCATGTTTTGTTGTCCTGGTTTAAAAGATTGCCTACTATGTATTTGAACTGGTGAAATCTCAATTTTATTCGCACTATATATCAATTTTTCCATGCGACGGAATTTGTATAATACCTGACGCCTCCCCCCATCCCCGGGTAAGTTTGAGTTTCGTTTGGTACTGGAAGTATGTTATTGCGTGAACTGGTTTTCTTGTTTTTATAGAGGAATTGTCAAATTCTCTGCAAAACCCTTTGGATCATTTTGTTAACACAACTGGAATGAGCAACAGCTTCTATGAAAGGATTAAACTTGAAAAGCTTCCTTGTGTTCACCGTGCTGTTTCTGCTACCGTGGATTTGAATGGGCGCAATTTTGCTATTCTACAATCTGACCCTAAAACTAGGTAAGTCTTTAGTTTGTCACAGGTAGCATTGCATGAATTACATTGACCGGAAGGATAAAAAGAATAGAAGGAAATCCACTTACTTGCTTGCCTGCCTTCTGTCTTTATACACATTTAGATTGTGAATATTCTAATAACCAGCTCTCGAGATAGCTGGTAATCATGAAGTATTGTAATTTGGGTTGACTTCAAAATTCATCTTTTTCTCAATGTACTAAAATGACAAGTAGGAATAATCATCTGTAAGGAAGTATTGCGCATAGAAACAAGAGTTGGATAGTCAGCTTAAGGCACAGTTTCCCTGATATATCATGCTGTTAGGACTTCACATACCTTTTGCTGTACATTCCTTTCGTGGTCAGGTATTCCAGACTTTACATATTCTTTTTATCAGAAAAAGTGGTGCTTAATTTATTTCTAACTGATCTAACTTTATTTTAAAGATTATACACCCTTTGTATTGAATTTTCTGTAGTAGAAGGAATAGTTTTCTCTATCTCCCCTAAAATACTTTAGTTCCCTGGTGAGTAAACTGTTGCATCCTTTAGAATTTGACATTCTTGCACCTGTCCTGATGAATGCAAGATGAAACATTTTGACAGCATGTTTTTTTCCAGAAAGACTCAAATATATGAGTAGAAATATGGAATAGTTTCATTAAATTCTCAAGATAAACAGTTTCAATGATGGAATATGATTGCTTAGCCTGGTTTGTTATCAATGCATTTGTTCAAATTTTAATTCTATACGTTATGTTCTGTTGTTCTTTTTTCAGTATTTGTTTTTAATTTTAATTTTGGTGAGCTCCTTGGAGTGGAATTAGGCAAGCTGCTGTATCATGGATACTGTTTTGCCTGTTTGAAAGGGTATTAACTGAATCACAGTGAGGACAATATTTAGATTAACAGGGTGGATGGTGAAATGGAAAATGGAAAGTGACAGACTGGGATTTAAGATAAGCAGAAGCCCTTGTTGAAGTCTCATGGCTCACTTACTTTATGAAGAATTAATAAGGTTGCAGCAAAGAATCTGCTGTTCCCTGGGTCAAAGTCATATTTAAGGGGTATGTGAGCTGTCAGACCTAAAATTTCTAACTGTCCAGCTTACTGAAATATCTCTAGAGGAATAAAATAATGTCTTTTGTTATCCCTGTATTAAGTTAGAGGTGCTTTGTTTAAAAGATTTGATCCTATGCTGATCCAAAAGTTCACAGAAATATCACCCTTGTTTGTAGCCTTGTCATTTTGAGCCAAAGGTTGTTATCACATTTACTGTTTATGGAAACGTACTCTGTGCAAATTCACTGCTAGTTTCCGACATTTCAACAATGTTTGCTTCTCAAAAAAAGTGATTCATTAGTTATAAGGCATTTTGGAATGTTGTGAGATCAAGAAGGATATTGCACAAATACAAGACTTTCTCCACACTAACTTCTGCATGATACCATCACCAGACATAATAGCACAGATGATCATTCAGCCAATAGTTCGTGTCAGTGCTGCGATGATATTATGGCTTGGAGAGGTGTATTTTGTCCTGGTTTATTTTTGTGATGAGAGGTTGAGATAGAGGCGCCGAGAGGTCTGCTCCAAACGAAGGAATGGTTTGTGAGGTCTTGGGTTTTTTAAGATGAAACAATTGAAGCAACACAAAAATGGGATCAAACTACCATACACCAGGATTTTAGTTTTAGCTTTCAGTGGCTGTTGGGGTTTGGAAGCTGCTTATACATCTCTTCCTGCGGCAGCAAAATGCTCTCGTGTGCCCTCTTCCCTCGCACTTGTATTTTAACTATAGTGTAAGAATAAAGTGTGTTTTGGTTCAAGCCTGGTAGTTAAGTCAATCGAATTGCATGTGGAACACAACATCTTACACTTGCCTTTAAAAATAGGTAAAAGTTGGTGTCTAGGCTATCTTAATATATTTTGAGGAGATTTGATCTGGTCCATAACAGCTCCGTGTTCAGTTACTGCCATCTACTTAACTCTCATTTTCCAATTCGTTCATGTTTGACTGTTTTCTGCCTTTTCAAATACTTAACAATTTCCTTTTATATAATTAATGTTATAATACATCTATCTTAGTAGTCATATTTGTGTACTTTATAATAATTGTATTCACATTGTGTTACATTGCATCGTATCTGCCTACATTGTTGGCATGTATGCTCTCTTGTAGTTGCCTGTGTTTGCTGTCATTTGCTATGCTGTCTAATTTGGCCTTATTTGTACTTTTTCATGGAATGCTTTTTTTATTTTTTTAGCTTGTATGAAATTCCAAGTGTTTCTTCCTCAAGCTTTAATGAAGACTTTGGCAAACTACTCAGGGAAGCCACTGAAACGGAGAGTATCCACGATGTCACATGTCAAGTTGGCAATCAGATTTTTCACAGCCATAAATATATCCTGGCCATGCGATCTGACTACTTTCGGAAGGTTTTCTTTCCTGATGAAGAACACGTTGACATGCCAGATGTCCGACGACCGGAAGCTGGTGGAATTGGATGTGACTTGTACATTCTGGATAAGATTCAAGCTGACTTGTTTGCCTATATTTTGCAGTTTATATATACAGATACTTGTGACTTGCTAACTGAGGGCTACAAACCAAAAATCCATTGCATAGAAAAAATAGTAACTTATCAAGATCCATTAATATCCAACTTGGAAGAATCTATGCAGAATTTCGGCTTTTGTGAAGAATTGAAAGGGAAATCTGCATTTGAAGTTTATGAAAATTTGCCATGTAAGAAATCGAAGACCAAAAGTAAAAGCAACAAAAAAAGCAAAGGGCTTAATGAGGAGGCTAATGCAGTTAAAATGCTGCAGGCTATGGCAAAGAAGTTTGGTCTTGCCAGTCTGTCTGCAAGGTAAGATTAAGGGATAAACCCAATTTCAGAGGGTAAAATTTATGTATTTTCAAAGACAAGAGTTTCTTCTCTTAAAGAAGAACAAATTGCCAGTTTCTATTTTTTTAAAAATGCGCAGTATTTTTCAACTTATTTTGATTTATTTGCTTTATATGCCTTCAAAGGTGCTTATCTGGGTAAATTTTCTCATTCGAGCCTCAAATAAGGCAATAATAGGGAATTCTTCTTTGTACCACTGTGTACACCATCATCGATAACTATGATGTTTAGCAAGACTGATTTTTGAATGTTTTCTAGAGAACTTGATTAGGATGAAGCAAGTTTCTCCCAGTTACTCTTAATTCTAAATATTTTAAATCTGTAAATTTCTAAATGACTGTTGCATTGCCATGCTTATCTCAAAAGTTGTGTTTGGAAGATCAGATGCTTCATAACAACTTTTAAATATTGCACTTGGCAGATTAGATGGGGTCAGATTGGAAAATTGGAAGATAAAAGTTGTACATAAGAAAGGAGGAAACAAACTGAAGTTTAATCGCAAGAAATGGTAAGGAGTAGTGTTTATCTCTTCAAAAAATGTAAGGATAAAGCATTAAAATGTTCATTGAGTTTCAGTGCAATATGATACCTTTCTGGTGTTAGCCTTAAGGCATGTAACTTTGAAAAGTTTGTTAACTTTGTTTTGAGCTTAATCTTTGAACACTTGGTACATTGAATACTCAAAAATCTTTGACGCCTCTAACTCTCATGTGGAGAAAAATTCAGCTGTTAGCTAAAAGAAGTAAGATGAAAATGATTTGCAGTTTGTTTCCTCTTGATTTTTTTTCTTTTCCATCATGAGATGAGTGTGCCACTGCTAAGACCAGCATCTGTTACCCACCCCTCATTGCTGCCACACTCTATATGGTGTAAGTATATCTGTATTGTCCTTGGCAAAACAGTTCCACATTTTTAACCAAGCAGCAATGAAGGATTGGCAATACAGTTCAAGATTGTAAGTCTTCTAAATAATGTATGCATGCAGTTTTAGTGAATAAAGTTCTCGATTTATAACTGGGAAAAAAAAGTGCATTTTAGCTAGAAATCTTTATGTATTGGGGTGAATTTCCATTCTCAAATGGTTTTCCTATTTCTTTGTAATTAGTTTCACTGCCAAAATTGCATTAAATATTTGAAGTGAAGTATTAAAAGTATTAAATATTTATTTATAATGCCCTGTTATGAATCATTTAAGCTTTTCATGGGTAAAGGTGCTAAACTACTCAAGTGTAAATGTCCCACATTCATTTTCTAGTCTTTCTAGTTGATCTTCACAGCTCTCCCAGCACTTGAAGAAGGAGAAGGAGGAGAAAGCAATCTAGTTTTGCACATCTAATTGCATCACCTCGGCATGATGCAGTGCTTCATGTTGTCTGATAAGCAGCAGGCAGTTACGCTGTAGGTTAATATTTGAAGAATAATTGCTTGAGCATGGTGCCAAAGCCTATGGAATGAAACCCAAGCAACAATTGGCATTTGGGAGATAAGGAAAACAAATTCTAATTTTTAAAACAAAACTGTTACGGGAATGATCCTCATTCATAATCACCCGAGCATGTTCCATTAAATAATGCTGTGGCTTGCCTCTGCTTTATAATGCAAGTGTCATTCAGCAGGGAAACAGACCATTCGGTCCAATTAGTCCACACCGACCTTGTTCCTAAACTAAACTAATCCCACCTGTATGCGCTTGGGCCATGTCCCTCCAAACCTTTCCTATTCATGTTCTTGTTCAAATCTTTTTAAATGTTGCAACTGTACCTGCATCCATCACTTTCTTTGGCAGTTAATTCCACATGTTCACTACTTGATGTGTTTTTTTTTAAAAAATGTTGCCCTCAAGTCCTTTTTAAAATCTTTCTCCTCTCGCCTTTAAAATATGGTCCCTAGCTTTGAATCCCCCCACCTTAGGGAAAATACCTTTTATTATACACTTTATCTATGCCCCCTAATGATTTTATAAACTTTTTTAAAGTCACCCCTCAACCTCCTATGCTCCAGTGGAAAAAGTCCCAGCCTATCTAGTCTTTCCTTATAGCGCAAACCCTTCATTCCTGGCAACATCCTGGTAAATCCTTTCTGATCACTCCCCAGTTTAATAATATCCTTCCTATAGCAGAGTGCCTAGAACTGCACACAGTAACCCAGAACAGGCTACACCAATGTCCTATACAAACTCAACATGGCATCCCAACTCCTATCCTCAAAAATCTGAGCAATGTCGGCAAGCATTCTAAATACCTTCCTTCATAACCACCCTGTCTACCTGTGTTGCAAATTTCAAAGAATTATGCACCTGATCCCCAGATGTCTCTGTTCTACAATTTAATTTCATTGTGATTTAGCAAAAACAGGACGCTGAGACTTTTTTTTTTACAGGTAGACCTAGTCGTGCTATATTCATCTCTCCATTTTCTAGAAGCAAACTTTAATTCATACTTTTTCTTTGTTTCCTATTAGTTCATATTTATGTGATGTAACTTTGAGATCAGAAGATGGAAAAGAATTTGACTGCCACAAATGTGTGTTATGTGCAAGACTAGGTAAAGATGCTCTTTGTTTTTATTATGTGCCTGTATGTGTGTGCTTGTGTTTGCATTCCTGTCCAGAAATATTTTATAAATTATGTTTATTTTCTTTTAGAATACTTTCACAGAATGCTGAGTAATGCCTGGATTGAGGTATTTATAATTTTTTTTGTGTGTAATAAAACATAGTTGGACCAAAAAAACTGTTGAAAGTGAGCATTATTGCTATGAAATATATAAAACATAAGATGTAGGAGAAAAGTAGGCCATTCAACCCATCACACCTGCTCCGCCTTTCAGTGAGAACATGGCTGATCTGATAATTCTCAACCCCACATTCCTACCTTTTCCCCGTAACCCTTGATTTGCTACTGATTAAAAATCTGTAATTCTCAGCCTGTAGCGCCCTTTACAGTGAAGATTCCATAGATTCAATGCCTTCTGAATGAAGAAATTCCTCCTCCTCTGTCTTAAATGAACAATTTCTTAATCTGTGCTTATTCTATTTGTTTGTAGTCCCTTCCACAAGGGGAAAAACATTTCCACATCTACCCTGCCAAGTTGCCTAAGAATCTTTATAGGTTTCAATAAGGTCGCCTCTTGTTCTTCAAAACTCCAATGAGTTCAGTCCCAATCTATTCCGCCTATCCTCACAAGACAATCTCTCTATACCAGGGTCTGGTTTAGTGACTGCCTGCAATGCTTGCCTTCAGATAAGGGTACCATAGCTGTTCAATTTTCCTACTGTGGTCTGACTAGTGCCTTATGTAGTTTTAGCAAGAGCTTCCTGATTTTATCCTCTATACCCTTTGAAGTAAAAGCCAACATTTGGTTTGCATTCCCTATTATCACCTGAACTTTTGTGCTGGTTTGTGATTGTTATGTATGAGGACTTCTAAATTCCTCTGATCTATAGCTTGTTGCAGTCTTTCTCCATCAAAATAATATTTCGCTCCTCTATTCTTTCTGCCAAGTTGCATAACCTCACATTTTCCCACAATAAATTCAAGTAAAATGGTCTGATCTGTAGGTGTCAATCAGCACTAATTGAAAATGGTAACCTTATTTTAAAAAGAGATTCTGCATAACTAAATAGATAAATGATTGTTCCAATAAGAATGGTGCATTTCTCAGATGTTTTAGGCTGATATCCTGCTTAGTAATCTCAACTCAAAAGGAAAATTTCAATGTGAGGTATTCTGATCAGTTGAAATAATCTGTACTCTACATTATTAAGAAAAACATGTTTGTTAATGTTATATTAGTAATTTTGGAAGTTGTAAAGTCAAATAGATACTGTTTCAGATGCTCACGAATTTGGATTACATTACTCTTTTTTTAGTAGCTTTTTAATCCCATGTGTTAATTACAAATAAACATCTGAACGCAATTGTTAACAAGACATACATTTGCAAATATATCTCGTGCTCCAGCCAGGTTCTTTGAGAGGAAATTGAAAGCAGTTGATAATGATACATAATTCTATGCTTTTTAATGTTAAGATTGATCAACTTGTCCTCTTTCTATTTCCTCCCCCTTCCCAACCTCTTCCTTCCACCACCAACCCCCTTTTGACAACTTCCCATTCATCTTTCCATCTCTGCATTTTTGTCTTTAGGCTTCTTGTTGCACAGCTTTGGAAATGCCTATTCATTCTGACATTTTGGAGGTTATTTTGGATTATATTTACACTGATGAAGCACCAGTTGTTAAAGGTTGGGACTATATTTTCCATGACTTATACAATTTATGTAAAAATAGCAAGCTTGTTTCAAATGTCTGCTTTTCCTTTTCCCTCTACCAGCAGTTTAGTGCATGATGTTACAAAGTATTAGAAAGTAGCTACACATAAGAATTGATCTATGCCGGTGTTTGTGCTTCATATGAGCCTCCTCCCACTCCTCTCCATCTAAATCCATCAACTTATCCTTTAGTCATTTCTTGCTCATGCTTATCTTGAAATGCATAAATGCTATTTGCTGCCCCATTCTAACTATACTTACCAACTACAACTTGTATAATACAGTGCTAAAACATCCCAGGGCTCATTCCAGGAGTACTGTCAAATTTGACAGCAAACTGCTTAAAAAGATACTGGGGCAGGTGATCTAAGTAGTTTTTAAAGAGCGCCTTGAAGGTTAGGAGGTTTCGGGGGGGAAATTTGAGCTTTAGGGTGTTGACTGTTGAAGGCATGGCCACTAATGGTGATGCACAAGAATCTTTCAGTTAGACGGAGTTTTCAGAGAGTTGTAATACTGGAGGGAGTTAGGCTGTGGAGGATTTTGATAACAATGAAAATTTTATTATCAAAACATTTCTTTAACTAGATTGAATTTAGATCATCAAGCATGGGGAAATGGGGGAAAGAGAATTTGGTGTGGGTTGGATGACGTCAAGTTTTCATTGTATGGAAAGTGGGAGGCTGATCAAGATTTGAATGTGTTGGAAGAGAAGAGTCTAGAAGTAACAAAGAATTCAGGCTGGGTAGAACAGTTTTTTGAATTTCTGGTTTATTAGTCACCGTCTTCCATTCGTGAATCATAGCTCTTGATTTTATTTGCAAGCAGAATCCCTACAGTGTAGAAACAGGCCATTCAGCCCAACAAGTCCACACCGCCCCTCCTCTGCATTTCCCATGTCTAACCCACCTAACCTAAACATCCCTGAACACTATGGACAATTTAGCATGGCCAATCCACCTAACCAGCACATCTTTGGACTGTGGGAGGAATGCCACGCAGACACGGAGAATGTGCAAACTCCACAGACAGTCGCCTGAAGATGGAACTGAACTCAGGTCTCTGGCGCTGTGAGGCAACAGTGCTAACCACTGAGCCACTGTGCTGCGAAAACCATTTCTGTGACTACCTCAGCAAATCCTTTCATAATCTTGCAAGACCTGTATCAGGTGACTCCTCAGTTTTTTTTCTGTCTTGTAGGAAAAAGAACACCAGCCTGTAGGATCTTTCCTACAAGTTTATCCCCTCAGTTCTGGTATCGTTCAAGTAATTTTTGTTTTGCACTTTCTCCAATTTAGAAGAATAAGAGGTGACTTCATCAAAGCATCCAAGATTTTGCAAGGTTTTTTTAATAATTCATTTATGGGATTTAGAAGTCTTTGGTTGGGCCAGCATGTAATGGTCATACCTAGTTATCCTTGAGAAGGTAATGAAACATTTTGTTTTTTCACTGCAATCATTCTCTCAAATCTAAGAATTCCAATTCTGCTCCACCGTTAACTTAATTTCCTACCGTGGGTTCATTGGCAAATCAAACTGGACTAAGAAATAAAAATATTTTACAGCTGATGGGGGAGTGGATCAACTGAGCTTGATTCAAATAGTTCATACCATCCAGTTTAGGGGGAAAAAAATGCTCAAAATTTGGTGGAGCTCTCGACTTTTTTTGTATTGCCTGGTGTGATTGAAAAGCTCATAACTATTTCATTTTGAGATATTTCAACAAAATACGGGTTATGATTTTATGTTAACCTCGGCTCTTAAAACTGCTTAAAGTGCCATTGCTGTGTCATGAAAAGCTCTGAACAATCAGGAATACATACTACTGATGTGAATTGCTGTCTTAATTATGCTAAGGTTTATACCAATTTTAATGCTGATAAAGTTTATTTACAGAAATATTCTCCCAACAGAATCATCAGATGTGGAGTTCATTTGTAACGTGCTCGTGGTTGCTGATCAGCTTCTTATCAGTCGTCTCAAGGAGATTTGTGAAGTGGCTATTACCGAAAAATGTGAGATTTTTTTAGTTAATTTTGTAGGAACAGTTTTTAGGAGGCGCAAAATAACTTAAGACTGAGCACTTTGCAAAGGGAAGGCTTAAAAGGCTGTAGTAGAAACTATATACATAACTATTGCTGTCACAGATGTATTTGTACGTCTTAGCTGCCATGTTGTGATTTCCTTGTGGAGTAAATGTCTCTCAAAATTGCTTAGTTTAAATTGCTGTATTTAAGGGGAGGTGATAGCCTTGTGGTATTACCACTAGACTGTTAATCCAGAGACCCAGGTAATGTTCTGAGGACCCGAGTTTGAATCCTGCCACGGCAAATGGTGGATCTTGAATTCAATAAAAATCTGGAGTAAAGGGTCTAATGATAACCATGAAACCATTGTCAACAAAAATAGAAGTTGCTGGAAAAGCTCAGCAGGCCTGGCAGCATCTAAGTTCTGAGGAACGGTCACCGGACCCAAAAGGCTAACTCTGATTGTGTTTTCTTCATAGATGCCGGCGGACCTGCTGAGCTTTTCTAGTAACTTCTGTTTTTGTTCCTGATTTACAGCATCTGCAGTTCTTTCGGTTTTTAGGAAACCATTGTCGATTGTCGGAAAAACCCAGCTAGTTCACTAATGCCCTTTTAGGGAAGGAAACTGCTGTCGTTACCTGATCTGGACTACATGTGACTCAAGACCCATAGTAATGTAGTTGACTCTTAACTGCTCCCTGAGGTAGACAATAAATGCTGGCCTAGCCAGCAAAGCCATCATCCTATGGATGAATGACTGAGTCACAATCTGAAATTCTCAAATTGAATATTTGAGATGTTTTTTGTTCCATTCTTGGCACATGGGCACGTTCGGCAAGGCTGGAATTTGCTGTGATCCCTAGCTGCCCTGAGAATAATGCTAAACCACTGCAGTTTTTTGCAATTATTGATAGAGCTGTGACACTTGCTAACCCATTTCAGAGGGTAGTTAAAAACCATCTGTCATGTGTGGGACTGGAATCGCACATAAATCAGGCTGGGTAAGCTTGCAAGGTTTCCTTCTCTAAAGAAAGTTAGAGAACTAGTTGACTTTTATATCATGACCTGATGGCTTCGTACCTATTTTTTTAATAACTACCTTTTTGATTCCAAATTTAGAAAAAACTTGAAATGTTTTGAATTCATGTTCTCTGGATAACTAGACCGCTAATATAACCAACAAATAACCTTGCCTGCTGTTAGTAAAGATTATACTTTTTTTTTGGTAAAGCGATTTTCCTTATCAGCTTTGGTTTCTTCATAGGCTGTGTGGACAGATGTCTTGACACTTCAAATATAGTTGACTATTTCATTGAAATCAAAGCTGAATAGGTATTCGGTTAGGAATGGAGTGGTGAATAGTAAGATAAACTTCTTAGTTGATTACAAAAATAAAAATATGTATCATTATATAGTGAATTGGTGCAATACACCTTGCAAAAGTGCAGCAAGGAAAGCTACAAAACGTTGGGATACAAGTTTGACTTCCACATGGTTACTTTCTGACTTGAGGCATGCTTCCTGTATAAAGCAGAGTGGTGATCAGACACATGATCCCACAAACACATTTTATTTTGCATAGTTTGGGCATAAAGAAATGTTACTGATTAACATAAGTTTGGAAAGATGCTGGTTCCCTTGAATAGGGAAATGTGCAAAGAAACAAGAGAATATAAAATTGATAAAAGGGAACAAGAAGTTGAGACTTCTGGTTTTGCACTCGCCATGGCCAGGATGCGAGAAGCAGACGTGGGGGTCAAAAGGGACTAACTTTATTCAACATGCGAAAAGATTACTGATCAGTTAGACCGTGATTGTCGTGGAGATGCAGCAAGAACAGTAAACTGGCGATCTTAATTCACAGGCTAGGTGTGTAAATTACACCCCAGACTGTGCTACAAGTTACAGCAGAAGCCACCTTAAGGCCGTCGTGGCCTCATAGTGTTCTGCATTTGCGTCTGTTAAAAGCTGTTTAGGCAAAAGGAATCTATACATACATTGTAGCTTTTCTTCTTTTAGAAAAAGGGGACACAGAGATGACCAATAGCCGAAAGATCTATGGTGTGGCCTCAAATATTCACAGTATTAACAAATTACGTAATGGTATAGGAAGATTCATATCTAAGAAAGGCAGCATTATAAGCAGGGAGCCTAATATCGCAAAAAATATTGATAGGTTAAGTGATTGGGTCTAGTTTTGATGAGTGCAAGACAAAAACGCTACTACTACTTGTCTGTTTTTAACAGTGTTTACGTTCTGTGTTGCTAAGCAATATAAAATTTACTTTCAAAAAAACAACTGATAACAAAAATCAGTTCTTCTTGGTTCAACTTTTAAAGCCAACCATGTTTCATCAAAATGTACTTTATTGGTAAAATAAAATGGTTAAAGTTAAGATCTGAAAACCTCAATTGCTTAACTGTCTCGACTTGTTTTAATCACTGTGTCACTAAAAATTCTAATTTGATAAATGAAGATAGCGATTTCCAAATAGCTTTTAGACTCCTTCTATAAGATTGAGAAGCTAAAGCAACATCTTTTTGTATTCCTATTTCTGTATAGTTGCAAGTGACACCTCTGTTAACTCACCTATGTTGTCTGAGGTTGGGAGTTTGAAGAATGATCTAAATCAAGACCTTAAAATAATAAAAGAATTCACAAGTGTGGATAAATTGAAGCTATTTCCTCTCGTGGAGAAGTCCACAAAGGAGAGCATCATCTTAAAAATAGAGCTTGGCCATTTTTAAAAAAAAAAAAAAAAAAAAAAAAAAATTGAACGCACATTTTCATACAAAGAATCATGGAAATATTGAACTTTTATTCAAAAGTCCAAATGATAGATCCATTGAAATTTTCAAGACAGATTAATTGGAGATTGTGGAACAATGGAGGTAAAATGCAGATCAATCGTTTTCTAATTGGTGGAAAAGACTTGAAAGGCTGAATGGTGGGCGGCACGGTGGCTCAGTGGGTAGCACTGTTGCCTTAGTGCCAGGGACCCAGGTTCAATTCCACCCTCGGGCGACTGTCTGTGTGGACTTTGCACCTTCTCCCCGTGCCTGTGTGGGTTTCCTCCCACAGTCCAAAGATGTGCAGGTTAGGTGGATTGGCCGTGTTAAATTGCCTATAGTATCCAGGGATGAGTAAATTACTTGGATTAAACATGGGAAATGCAGGATTACAGGTAAAGGGTAGGGGGATGGGTCTGGGTGGGATGCTCTTTGGAGGGGCAGTGTGGGCTTGTTGGGCCAAATGGCCTGTTTTCACACTGTAGGGATTTTGTGATTTATTGTTAAGTTTTCTTGAATGTTAACAGATTTAATGTTGTTCTGTTTTCAGTAACTTTAAAAAATGCTTCAGAACTTTTGGAGTTTTCTACAATGTACAATGCTGACCAATTAAAACTGTCCTGTCTACAGTTCATAAGTATAAATATGGCAGTTCTGCTTGAAGCAAGGTAAGAGAAATTTCTCTTGATTTTCCACTCCTAGAATTTGTATCTTTTTTCATAGTTTGTTTTTATCTTTTCTCGAGGCCACATATTAGACATGAAATGAGTATATATGATTTATGAGACCATTTAGCTTGATGGTATTCCTAGTTGTCGTCTTTACTGGTGAAAACTAATCTTTCAGATATTCTGAAAACACAAACTGCTGGAGATCGCAGTGGGTCAGAGAGCATACATGGAGGAAAAGCAAGCTAACTCTTCAGCAGAGTCATCTAGACTCAATGTTAGCTTGCATTCTCTTCACGGATGCTGCCTGCCTCGCTGTGATCTCCAGCACTTCTTGTTTTCAGTACAGATTCCAGCATCTGCAGTAATTGGCTCCTATTTTCAGATATTCCTCCTGAAAATATCTTCCAAAACACCATTACCTTGCTACTTCCCATTCTCTCTCGATTTTCTATTATTATTCTCTTAAAAATTATACTTAATTGATCATACTTCTTTCCTTGTAAAGAACTGACAATGGAACCTGAAATGCCAGGTGCCAGAAAACAGTTATGCCACAGATATTGTAGGTAATGATCTTCTTGCATAAGAAGAAGTCATTTTCCTTTTGACATTCAGGCAGACCACAGTTGCTGAGATTCCACTATAAACATCATGGGATTAATGTTGGCCAGAAACTGAACAATATAAGCCATAAGATATAGGAACAGGAGTAGGCTGTTTGGCCCCTTGAACCAGAACTCCTCATGTCCATTTCCTGTCTTTTCTCCATAACCCTTGATTCCTCTATTGATCAAGAATCTTATCTCAGCCTTAAATTTATGCAAGGACTCTGCCTTCAGAATATCTGTGACAAGGAGTTTCAAAGAATCTCAGCCCTCTGAGAAGAAATTCCTCCTCATCTCAGTCTTAAACTGGTACACCTTAATTCTGAGACTGTAGTCTCAGATTCATCCATGAGAAGAAGCATCCTTTTAACATCCACCTTATTAACATCAGGATGCTAGTGCCAAAATTGAGAAAGTTGTCTGTCAGACTAGTCTGCAGCGTCCATCACTAAGAGTGGCTAGGCAGTCCTACTACTGGCTGAGTTGTTGAATCCTAAAGGATGTAGTTGCTGACTGGTTCTGTGGTAGATGGTGAATGACCTGGCAACAGTAATACAAATATTTCATTGATGTGGATACTGCACAGTTCTTGTGGTAATGAAGTCTCGTCATTCCATTGATATGCCACAAATATGGAGGACCATCATTGCATCAAATGATGTAGCTTTTGAACAGTTCTAGCAACTCGAGTGAGCATCCATGAAATGTTTTGGTCATCAGTAGCAGCAGAATTGCATTCCAATGCAATCTGTATATCTCCACTCAATCATTGCTATCAAGCTAGGGGAATCAATTCTGATTCAATGAAAATTGCAGAAGGTTTTGCGTAGAGCAACACCAGGTATACCAAGAAATGAGACGTCCATCTGGTGAAACTATAACAGTGGATCACTTGCATGCCGAATGGCATATGCAGCAAGTGATAATGGACAGATCTAAGTGATTCATAATCAAATGGATCAAATCTGCACTCAGTACTGTCAAATCCAGTTGTGAACGATGATAGACCATGAAAGAACTCAATGGAGGAGGCTCCACAAATATTCCCTATCTTCAATAGCATGGACGGCATGGTGGCTCAGTGATTAGCACTGCTGTCTCTCAGCACCAGGGACTTGGGTTTGATTCCACTCTTGGGCAACTGTGCAAACTCCACACAGACATTCTCCCTGTTCTGCGTGGGTTTCCTCCGGGTGCTCCAGTTTCCTCCCACAATCCAAAGCTGTGCAGGTTAGGTGGATTGGCCATGCTAAATTGCCCATAGTATCCAGGGATGTGCAGGCTAGGTGGGTTAGCCATGGGAAATGCAGGGTTATGGGGATAGGTTAGGGTTGTGTGTCTGGGAGGGATGCCCTTTGGAGGGTTGGTGTGGACTCGGTGGGCCGAATGGCCTGCTTCCACACTGTAAGGACTCTATGATTCTCAAGACCATTGAGTATAGGAATTGGAACATTATGTTGCAGTTGTAAAGAATGTTGGTGAGGCCACCTTTGGAGTACCATGTACAGTTCTCGTTGCTTGCTATTTGGAAAGATTAAATTGGAGGGGGTTCAGAAAAGATTTACTAAGATGTTGGAGTAAATTACCACAGATGCTGGAATCCGTGCTGAAACAAAGTAAAGTGCTGGAGATCGCAGCAAGTCGGGCAGCATCCATGGAGAGAAAGCAATGTTCAGAGTCTGGATGACTCTGTATTGGAGCTGACGTGAAGTGCAGAGGGGACAGCGTTCATGCAATAATTGAGGCTGATTATCAAAGAACTGGAGACACTGAATACTGCAATGGCTGCAGGCCCTGACATCATTCTGGCAATAGTACTGAAGATCTGTGCTTCTAGCCAAGTTGTTCCACGTCAGTTAGAACACTTGCACATACCTGACAATGTGGAATATTGTCCAGGTTTGTCTTGTGTTCTTAAACAGTGCAAATCCAACACAGCCATTTACTGGCCCATGAGTCTACTCTCGATCATCAGCGAAGTGATGGAAGGAGTCATCAATAGTGCCATCAAGCTGCACTTGCCCAGCAATAAACTGATCATAATACTCAGTTTGGTTTCCACCAGTGCTACTCAGTTCCTGATCTCCTTACAGCCCTTGTTCAGACATAGTCAGGAGTGCTGAACTCTAGAGGAAATGAGAGAGTAACTGCCCTTGATATTGACACTGCATTTGACTCTGTCTTCAAGGAGCTGCAGCAAAATTAGAGTTAATGGGAGTCAATTTGGAAAACTCTCCACTGCTTCGAGTCATACCTAGCACAGAAAGAAGGTTGTGCTTCTTAGTAGTCACTTATCTCAGCTCACATGAGGATTTCTTCAGGGGAAGCCAATGTGCTTCATCTGCTTCACCAATGACTTTGCCTCCATTGTAAAGTCAAACGTGGGATATTTGCCGATAATTACACCATGTTCAGCACCATTCTTGATTCCTCAGATACTGAAGTGATCCATGTCCAAATGCAGCAAAACCCAGAGAACAATTAGCCTTGGATTGATGAGAGGCAAGTAATATTAATGCCACGCAATGACTATCTGAAACAAGAAAGCATCTAAACATTGGCCCATGACATTTCAACTTAACCTGTCACCCTCCAATTCAATTATATGCCTCCACAAACTTCTCAAAGGAGTTTCCACCCATTGTTTAGAAAGTGCAGTTATCTATTTTAGCACCTACATTCTGAAAGAGTCGCAAATGAGATCTATATGGAATGTTGCTTCTGGTTTTTAATTTCAGATCTCTGGACATTCTCAGTGATGAAGTACTGAAGGAACTCTCAAATGCTTATAGGAATATGGTAAGAATTCTCTGACCTATGCATAATATGGACCACTACAGGATAAGCTTCCTTATTGGGTTGACTTGTACTCTAACCTTATTAACCGTACTGTCTTGAAAGCACATTATTTTCAGGCATAATGTTGATAAAGTGTCCCTCAAAAGAGCTGTTTGTCAAAAGTATAGGTGACATGTATCTATGTCTATGGGTTGTGCTTGCTTCTTAATGCTGATTTATAAAATGGAATAGAAACAAGAAATCAAAACGTTCATTTATTTAGTGCCATTGAAAATGTCCCCAAGCTTTTGCTAGCCTGCGCTCATTCTTGTAAACCAGGAAAATGTGACACTAGCTTGCATATAGCAAGGTCATGCAATAGCAGTTAGACAAACGACCAGATAATGTGTTTTAGTGGTGTTGGTAAAGGGACACTGGCTGCCCATGACACAAACAGAAATCCCTTCTATTTGAATACTGTGGTAGGCTCTTTTGAGGTTGCCGAAGAGGATAGATGGGTCTCAGCCTAACGGGTTCTCCAAAAGACACTATTTCTGCCTGTACAGCCCTTGGTAAGTGCTGTGCTGAAATACTAACGTGGATTATGTCCATGTGTTTCTGTGAGAGTGGGTATTGAACACTTAATCTTCTGGCCCAAAGGCAAGCACCCTTTGGCAGTACCTTCCAAACCTGCAACTTGGAAAAGCAAGGGAAGCAGACAAATGGAAACACTACTGCTTGTAGACTCTCCTCCTAGTTGTGTCCAATCTTGCCTTAGAATGATGTCACAGTGTTTTGTTGTCAGAGTCCAAATTCTACAGCTTTCTTCTTGACATCACTATAGGTGTACATACACTACATGAACTGCAACAAATCACGAAGGAGATTCAATACCACCTTCTCGAGAGCAATTAGGAATAGTCAGTAAATGCTAGCCAATGCTAGCCCTGCCAGTAAAGCTCATATCCCATGAATGAATTTAAAACAGATTCCAAGCTGAAATTAAAATGAATATTGTCACCTTCATTAATAGTATCCTGTTCTAACTATGAATTTCTCCATGCTGAATGCTACGAAGCATAAATTGCTGGAGAAATTCAGCAGGTTTGGCAGCATCTGTGGTGAGAAAGCTGAGTTGACATTTCAGATTTACTGACACTTCTTCAGAACTGAAGGCCTTTGCCTCTGTGCCTATTTCTTAGGACAAGAGTCCTCCCCGTACCACAGACCCTTTCACCTGCCTCCAACACTCTCTCCCTAGCTAGACCCCTGTCGACATGACATAGGTTGCCTTAATTTCTGGGCCCCTCTCACCCATTGAAACCTAGCTCCATCTGAACTGATTGCATTCCATGTTCTTTATAATCAAGCTTCCCAACAAGGGTGGTGTTATTGTTGTCTGGCACATTGACCTCCACTTTGTGAAGGCTGAGCTCCTGCTCTCGGACTCCTCCTATTAACTGTGGACCATGAGCCCACCATTGAGCACCAGACTACTGTGCCCACACAAGTCACTAATAAAATTCATCTGGTCTACTTTTTCACTCCCGTTACCTCCCCCACACACCCATGGCAATACAATTGAAGAAGGTGTAACACCTCATTTACTTTCTCCATCCTCCCTATACAGTGCCCCAGACACTTCTTCCGGGTGAAGCAGCGATTTACCTGCACTTCACTTAATCTGCTGTATTCACTGCTCACAATGTGGTTTCCTCTACATTGGGGAGATGAAATGCAGACTGCATGACCACTTTGCAGAACACCTACTTGCTGTTCACAAAAATGACCCTGAGCTTCTAGTTTTTTGCCACTTCAACACACCATCATGCTTCCTGGCCAGCAGCTCTATCTTGTATTGCTGCAGTGCTCTAGCAAAGTTCAGGATATGCTGGAAGAACAGCATCTCATTTCCTCCTGGGGACCCTGTAGCCTTCAGGACTCCATATAGAGTTCAATAATTTCAGGGCCCGAGTACCTTGTTCCACGTCCTTCTCCGAACCCCAGCACACCAGACCTTGTCATCACATGAGCTGTTACTATAACCAACCAGTGGTCAGCTACTAATGGTTTCCAAAAGCAATTATTGATTTTCCTAGGCTGACTATTATCCATTCCTTTTGTTTGTCCCACTGTTGTGCTCTGTCTCATGCTCGCTCGTGCGTTCGTGTGCTCCCTCGTGCCAGGACCCACCCCACCTTCATATAATACTAACCATTTCCTAGCTACAATCCGTTCTGAAGAAGGGTCACTTGATCCAAGACAATAGCTCTTTCTCTCCACAGATTTTGCCAGATCATCTGGGTTTCTCCAGCAATTTCTATTTTTGTTTTGGATTTCCAGCATCTGCAGTTCTTTGGTTTCTTTGATAAATTTCTAAATACTACTGAGATAACCTGCACCACATTGAGTGAACTATTAATCACATTCTATTCAGATTTATTTTTCTATACATTGATTTCATGGCTGGTATTGTATTTATTTTGACAACCAAATATTTTGGTTTAAACTATGCCTCCAGAAAATTAAGAATAAATCTATTGAGATCTCTTACAAATGACTATTTTCATGTTTTTTCACTGACTTATTTAATTTTGAGCTATGTCGAAAGATAACTTTAATGTTTGTACTTCTGATTTTTTATTTGGGAGTGAAGTAAAGGACTAATTTTGTTAATCCCATTGTTTCGCTCTTGTAAATGAGAAAAAAATTGCAATACTATTGATTATTTTCACCAGCAATAATAAAGTTAGGGATAATTTATTTTTATGTGAATAGTTGGTATGTTTAGAACACTTTTTTATTTCTGAAGCTTCAGTGTTTTTAAATTATAGATTCCAGCCATGCAAAAAAGGATCATCACTCCTTATCCAGGTGGTCCAGACATCAGCTTCCTGAGCGAGGAGATTGATGATAACTCCTTGGCCAGTAAAATCGAATTAGACTTTGAACCATCTTCCAAGTGAGTGACTTCCTTGCCATGTTGTGAGAATATCTCTGGGTTTCCTTCATCTGTGCTATCTAAAAAGGGGCGTTGCTACTGTATTTATAATTGGGTTGATTATGACTTCTGGTAAATCTGTTCATATCCAAATGTTTTCTTCAACTGCTTTGATTAAATATTAGCAGCCAGTACTTAAATGGTTTGGAATTCTTTGCAAAACTCCCACTTGGATGTTATTAATGGTTTAAGTTGAGAAGACAAACATGATACGTAAATGGCTTTAGTAAAAACATAGGCATTAGTCACCTGTTATGATGCAGACCCATGCGTTCAACCTGTGCCTTACTTACAAGATGTTAATCTTTATTGACTGACAGGTTATCAAAAAACAAGCTGACCACTTGAATATTCTGCAAATTGTTATTTTGCAAATCAACAGCAATATTGACCTTGTTCTTGATGATATATTTTAAAGACATTTATGTAAGAGCAAATAGAGTTGGAAAGTTTTATTGATGCAAGTACAGTAGTGGTAATTCATGGTTGTGCATGTATTTACGAACTGTTTAATGCTCAACCCTTTATAAGGAACTCTTGAGTTTGGGATTTCACTTTAATGTAGATAGTCAGATTCATTTCTGATTTAGACCAGCTGAGGGAGCAGTAGAATTAAGTTTAAATTTTACTGATTGCCATGGAATTAGTAGCTACTTTGCACTGAATCTGCTGGATTCCTAATGAACTGTTACTAATAAGGGTAAAAGTGTCAATATATTAAAGTTTAATATACATTCAACAGCAATTATTTCTTGGATTATAGTGGAAATCTTAAGTGATGATGGCGATTGTAGCTTTTAGTACCTTAGGTTTTCAGGACTAAGTATTGAAAGACTGACTGGTTGGCTGTTTGAATTTTTTTAACTATAATTAGAACCAGTACCTGGTCTCAAATGAGGGAGTGACACTGTTATCATGTATTCATGAAATGGCATTGATGTTGGAAATCCTAATTCATTTTGTGTAGATGCTGGTGTCCAGTGACATGGCACATATAAGTTAATACTGTACTGCATAATTGACGTATGTTAGTGGGGAGGAAGGAGAAACTTCATGATAAATTATAAAGACAATACTGAAGTATTGAACTAAATAAAGGGGTTTTTTAATCAGCAAGGTTGGATGAGGATAGATTTGTAAGTAGTAATGCAATCTCCTTTGCAACATGTATATATCAATGTGGGTTTCTGTGGGTTGTTTTAATGGTGCAGTTTCAATGATGCCTTTTACTGTGTAATTAATTGGCTAACATCTCTATCAGCTTAGTGAAGTCTATAAGATGAGTTTCAAAAACACTACTTTAAAATTTTGATCTTTTGTAAGGTAGCTGATAAAACAATTCTGAATGTAGTAATGTGTCTTTTATTATAAAGCATTCATAAGCACAACATAGCCTAGTTTTACTGGGGAATTCAATGATTTTCCATTATCCAGCAATGAGATCACCCTTTAAGCATTTCATTTACATATTTTAATTATGTATCTGGACCCAGTTAATTTAATCTTAAATTAGCATTGTTACAAATAGTTTCCATCCTGTGATTCCAAAGATCAAGTAGTTATTGTAAGTCTGCCTTTATATTTTTAAGTGAGCAAATGTGGAGGAACATAAATTTATTCCTGTGCTTATTGTCACAGTTGTGGTTTAAAACAAGAGACAATTAATTTTTTTTCCCCCCTTCAGAGAAACTCTTCTCAAAAAGGCAAAAGTAAAGGCTAAAAAGAAGCAGAGACGACGTCCTGACAGTTCAGGAGGATACCATTTATCTGATCTCATTCAGAGCCCAACATCAACAGGTGAGCAAATCGCAGCTAAGGGCTCAGTGGCTAGTACTGCTGCCTCACAGTGCCAGGGACCCGGGTTCGATTCCACCATTGGGCGACTGTCTGTGTGGAGTTTGCATGTTCTCCCTGTGTCTGCATGGATTTCCTCTGGGTGCTTCGGTTTCCTCCCACAGTCCAAAGATGTGCAGGTAGGGTGGATTGGCCATGCTAAATTGCCCATAGTGTTCAGGGATGTGTAGATTAGATGGGTTATAGGGGGACAGGTCTGGGTGGGATCCTCCGAAGGTCTGTGTGGGCTTGTTGTGCCGAAGGGCCTGTTTCCACACTGTAGGGATTCTATGATTCTATGAATATAGTGAGAAAGAAAATATGGCCCAAGCTGGGCAGTAGGTATCTGACAGATACTGAGGTTATCTGGAACGCGTAGCACTTGCACAGTTTAAGCTTTAGATCTACAAAAGCTTGCTGTTGGACACAAAGTTCTTCTAGGGGCTAGGAGAGGAACCTGGTAGTTCTGTAGGTTAGAATCTTGAAATCTTGACTACTTTTCAGTGCAGATTGCGCTGTGATTTGGAAAACCTCTGCGAGGACAGAGTCAGAGTTGTTGGAATCTCCTTCACTTTTAAATATCTGTGAGCACCTACTGAGACTTGCACTTGAATAACCAATGAAATCGATAGACTAACTACCTTTTGTGAACCATAGTCCAGTGGTAGGTCCACAGAGACAAGAGGGAAGACAGATGGCTTAAGAAATAATGTTCCCTATCTGTAGTGTTTTAACCATGCTTTAATTATGAACAGCTCTAACATGCCACAATGCTTTCCTCACAACTCAAAGCCATGATGGCCCAGCTGAAGGTTTATTTGGTTCTTGAATTTTGCATATTTTGTTTTGTAGAAGATTAGTTTGATAATGCTGGTCTGAGAGCCATGTTTTTGAGACATTGCATAAATTGACTTTTATGACTGCAGCACAGGTTTGTATCTAAAATGTAACTTCCATCAGAACTGTGTTTATTTGTAATTTTCAGTTCAAATTTTCTCCTTCAAAGTCTAAAGGTACTGAATCTTTCTGGAAAGTAGCTCAGGTGCCCAGCATTATTCTGGCCCGTGGCAATACCTAGCATGTGATCCTAGCCATTCAATTTGGGTTGGCTGTTCATTTGTGGAGGGGACAGCCAGTAGCCTTACATGCTTATCACTGTTCAAACATGCACTATTGACACTCCTATTTTCCAGACAGCATTACTGAAACTAAGTAGATGCTTTGGTGGGTTTTCCATCATGTCCCATAACCCCAGTAGAAGAAATCTGTTTCCACGATCTTCCAGTTTAATGCAAGACATTTCTACTTGGCCCAGTTCTTGCATTGTTGTACAGTGCCTTTTCCAGCTAGCCTCTTGGGAGGTGTGATGATTTTTTTTAAGATTGTAATAAATTTGAAAGATTTAGGATTTTTACTGTAATTAGATGTTGGTGGCATTACTTCTGCTGGAAGAGCCCCTTCTTTCTGCTAAGAACATAGAACAGTATAGCACAGGAACATTCTCTGGCTTTTTTGGATGTTTCCTGTGCTGTGGTATTTGAGAATTGTTCTGTCTGGAATATGTGGAAAATAGGACACAGTTTATTCTGTTTTGAATGAGGATGAGGAAAAACTTGCAGTATTGGTGCAACATGGCAATTGGAATGAGGATTTTAGATCTAGCTTTGGGAGTTGGGTGTGGGGAGAGCACAAGGCTTGTGGAGCAACAAGAAGGATTGCATTTGGGAGGAAACATCAGAATACAGTCTCGGGGTTTGGGAATGAAAATTAAATTCAAGAATGGTTTTTCAAAGTACTCTGCTTTGGGAGCACCTACGTTGTGGATTTCCCCATGATTTGGGTCCAGTTGGAGTGTTGCCCATGAGTGTGAGGTCACCTTGCACTTGGGGAAGGAGAGAGTCAGCTGGTATCTGAATCTATTTGGCATCTCGAGTGTTATTCAAAGAATTTTGAAAACTGATATAATGCTTCTGAGTTACACAGAACAGAAGAAGAATGGCGGAGCCAGGAAAGGAAGAAGCTGAGAGATTGAGTTTGTAATTCAAGAAGCTGAGGTCTGGGAGTATTGAAGAAGTGGATAAGGACTAGGCTACTGATGAAAGGAATATCTAAGGTACAGGTCTTCTGGGAATGCAGTTGAAGCTTTTCGTACTGGTGTGGAACAGATTCTGGTGCACAAGACCAATGATACACAACAGACAAAACATTGGGCTGGAGAAGGCCATTAATGTAGATTGAGAGGATTAAGACATTTGTAGAAAATTTTGGTAGTGAAGTCCACCCTGAGAATTCAAACTGCAGTCGAATACTCCACATTGGTCCCCAGGTTCTAAGTAAAGGACTAAATTTCCCAGAGAACTCCAATACTTCCGAGTTGCTCTGAGTAAAAATAAATATTTTAATTAGGTTTATTTAATTTTTGAGTTAAAATACTTTCTTTAACTCTTAATTTTCAGAAGAGTTGACTTTTGTAGAATTATTTTGACAATTTTTTTACTTAGTTCCTGTTACATGTCTTTTGGAACTGGTACCTTTCCAAAACCAGTTGGGCAATTTGCTAAGTCAGTTTTTGTTGTTTTCTTGCCCTTTACTGCTTTTCATTTGTGAACTTGATCAATTGAATACTTGGTGATTTAAGCAATGTAATTTCATCCTATTATCTGATTTTTTTTTTTTTTTTTTTTTTTTTTTTGCCCCTTTTAAGAAGTTAATATCCTGAAGTGTAATGTCCTGAAGTTGTACTTTAGAGATGATGCTTTCTGAAGGGTGTAATGTAATGGATGGATACTACATGTTGTGTTCAGCTTTGCAAAGACAGTTAGTTAAAACTACATTTTGTAAGGTTTGCACAATGGTTTGTCATTTATGCCACATAATGCAACTTGAACATCTAGCATCCTGGACGGTTAGCAATAAATTACGCAAATGTTTGACTTGTGTAAGTTTGCAAAGGAGTAATCCTTAATGTCCAGTATCCTTTTTTGACTATCCAGAGAAAGCTGTTGCTTCCTGCTATTGCATACAAAGCCATAACTTGACTCTCTAAAATTGTAGTTGTGCAGGGTACAGCGTGTGTAAGATGTTTTTTCTCTTGCATACTGGTTTATCTTTTTCACTTCGTAACAGAAATGTTTTCACAATTGTAGAGATAATGTTTGCTGCCTACCTACTTTATTTAAGAATATAGGAACAAGAGGGAGGCCATTTTCATCACTGATCTGTACTTGAACGTCACTCACCTTTGTTCTATATCCCATTTATATAAAAGATTTTATTTTTCTTCTAGTAGTAGAATCATATTGTAAAGGAATTGGAAGAAGGCAAGTTTTCTTTTTTGTATTTTGGAGACCTTGACTGTTCCACTGGACTTGTGATTTAGAATCTTTACTGAGGTCCTGATGCCGAAGATGGAAGGTTCTTGAAAAACAGCCCAGAAAGTTTGGTTAAGAGGAATATAGGGAGACATCATGTTGCTACCAAACCTTTTAACTGGAAACTTCATTAAATGCTGATAAAGTGGATTTTTTGAGGTAGGACAAAATTAAAACAGAAACCCTATTTTTTTTTTTAAAAAATCTAGTATGGCCAACAAATGAACTTACAATTAAGGTAGCACTTCTAAGATCTGAGATAGCTGAAGCAGGCACTGAAGCCAAAAAAAATTGGAAAGGCCAAACAGAAGAAACAAACCCCAAACTTCAAATCCCAATCTCTGAAAGAAGGTGGGATTTCTTGGTGAAATTAATCAGGTAGATTAGTAGCAAGTCATCAGCAGTTGGGTGAATAAGTTTAAATATTTATGTGTCGATTGTGAGCACATATGCCAGTACACAAATCAGGAGCCACGCTGCCCTTCAGGTGCACTTTATCATTCAGTAGATCGTGGCTGATCTGATTAGTTTACATTCCTGTCTAAACCTGAGGACCTGTAACCCCTTTGCTAATCAAGAATCTATCTTTGTTTACTTTCAAAAGTATTGAAGGACTCTGCTTTGACTGTCAAACAGACAGAGTTGCGAAGATATCATCTGTAAGAAAGCTTTTATCTTGCGTCTGTTTGAGGGAGTATCCTATTGTTTCTGAATATTGTCCTTCGATCTAGATTCTCCCACAGGAAAATATTTATTTATCTTGTTTTTTTTTCCTGAATGCACCCTATCAAGACACCTTGGGATTTCATACATAAGTTTTCTCTTTGTTCATAAGATACAAGCTTTGCTGGCTAGGCCAGTATTTACTGCCCAACCTTCCTTGCCTTTTGAGAATGTGGTGGTGAGCTGCCTACTTGAATGGCTGCAGTCCTTGGGCTGTAGGACTAGGTGCAACGCTGTTAGGGAAGGAGTTCCAGGATTTTGACTCTGTAGTAGTGAAAGAACAGTGATGTATTTTCAAGTGGGTTTAGTGAGTGACGTGTTTGGGAACTTGCAGATGTTGACATTCCCTTGTATCTGCATCCGTTGTGCTTCTAGATGATGGTGGTTATAGGTTTGGAAATTGCTGTCTTAGGAGCTTTGGTGAATTTCAGCAATGCTTCCTATATCTGTAGTGTACACTGGTGCTACTGTGCATTAGTTGTGAAGGAAGCAAATATTACAGGTGTGGTGATAACGAATGGGCTGCTTTGTCCTAGATGGTATTAAGCTGCTTGAGCTGCACTCATTAAGGAAGTGGCTGGTATTCTGTTATAGTTCTGATTTGTTCTTTGAAGATGGTGGACAAACTTTGAGGAGTCAGGTGGTCTGCTGTTGTAGCTGTAGAATTTGTATGACTTGTCCATTTCAGTTTCAGGTTACTGATAACCCCCAGAATGTTAATAGTGGGTGATTCAATGATAGTAATGCCATTGATTGTGAAGGATAATGTTTAGATTTTCTATTGTTGCAGATGGCCATTGCCTGGCACTTGTCAACCTAAGCCTGGATGTTATCTGGGTTTTGCTGCATTTGAACATGGACTGCTTCAGTATCTGAAGTGTTGTGAATTGTGCTGCATGTTGTGCAATCATTGGCAAACATCCTTACCTCCTGACCTTTATGATAGAGGGAATGTCATTGATGAAGCAGCTAAAAATGATTGTGCCTAAGATCTTACTCAAAGGAACTCCTGCTGAGATGTCCAATGGCACTGACCACCAACAAACACAACCATCTTCCTTTTGTGCTTGGTATGACTCCACCTGGCAGAGTTTTCCCCGATTTCTCTTTGACCCTAACTAGGGCACCTTGATGTCACACTCGGTCAAAGTTTCTGAAAGAAGTCAGAAAAATAGTTTGAGAAATATGACTCCTTTTCTGTTTGTCTCAAATTACCTATCAATACTGAGTTGTAATTTTGCTGGTTTTATGTGTTCCTTGCTCTTGATTTGGTTACTTAAGCCATTTTGGAAAAAATGTGATATTCTATATGCTACAGATTTTGTTTAAGTTGTATTCTATACATTGAAGATATGGTTTGTCCAGGATTTCTCATTACAAGGAACATTTTATGATGGTCACTTTAAGATCGATTATTTTTTATTCTTGCAGATTTGCAAAGACATGCAAAAACTAATTCAGTAGAGTCCCTGCATGAGATGTTGATGTCTGATTCTGAAGGCAGCTATGCTGGTGGAGTAACCAGCCCCAGAGAACTAGCTTCACCTGATTTTTCAGCTGCACTCTACCAAGAGAAATCTGAGGTCTGTGCAATATATATACAACGAATCACTATGATAGTGCAATACAAAGCCAGGATAAAACATTCAAGTTTTGAACCACTTTTTACAACTTTGTAGCGCTTTAACAATCCTTCACTATTTCAGTAATTTCTTGTTGCCCCTTACCCTTGTAGATGGATGTTCATGAAAAACCACTTACTGACTAGCTGTCATTTTGTGTGTTTTGTCCTATATGAACATCACTTCTATTTAGTGTTGTAAATTATGTTTCATCAACATGGAAAATGTTAGTCTATTTGAAGAGAGTCCCTTCTAAACTTTATGAATTCTAATGCAAAATCATGATTAAATAAATATTGCAAAATTGTAGGGCTTCAGTCAGAATCAAAAGAATGAAAATAGCCTTAGATTGGCTATTTGAATAAATGTACTACTTTCACAAAACTTCTTACTTTAAGGAGCACTTAGTCTGGAAATTATATTTCTATACTACATAAAAAATAGCTTTCCTCACATGTAAACTACCCATTTGGCTATGAAAGCAAAAAAAAAAACTCACTAAAATATATTGAAACAAATATTGAGTGATTTTTGCACTGTATTTAAAATATTTTCTAGATATAATCTTAAAGTCTAAATAGTATAGCTTTCTAATACTTGGAACTATTCTATATGATAATTACATTTTATGTTTTTGACAAGTGTGTTTTCGTCTAGTGTTCATTTGTTGCACTGAAGTTAAACTAAAATACTAACATGGTGCAAATTAAATTTCTAGGTATGTGACTAATGAATGACCTATGTATATCATATAATGTTATTCGCTTTTGAGGCATAATGACGTTGGGGCCTTTGAGGTACAGCGATAGTGTCACTACCTGTGACTCAAGAGACCTGTATTTATGTCCTACCTCCTCCAGAGGTATGTCATAACACGTCTGAACAGGTTGATTTAAAAAAATACTTGTTATAGGGCTAAAATTGAATCAGAGATGGTAGGAACTGCAGATGCTGGAGAATCCGAGACAACAAGGTGCAGAGCTGGATGAACACAGCAGGCCAAGCAGCATCACAGGAGCAGAGAGGCTGACGTTTCGGGCCTAGACCCTTCATCAGAAATGGGTCTGCACCTCCCAGTCGCAAACCATTTCAACTCCCCCTCCCATTCCTCAGATGACATGTCCATCCTGGGCCTCCTGCAGTGCCACACCGATGCCACCCGAAGTTTGCAGGAACAGCAACTCATATTCCGCTTGGGAACCCTGCAGCCCAACGGTATCAATGTGGATTTCACAAGCTTCAAAATCTCCGCTCCCCCTACCGCATCCCAAAACCAGTCCAGCTCGTCCCCGCCTCCCTAACCTGTTCTTACGCCCACCTATCCCCTCCTCCCACTTCAACCCACACCCCCATCTCCTACCTACTAACCTCATCCCGCCCCCTTGACCTGTCCGTCCTCCCTGGACTGACCTATCCCCTCCCTAACTCCCCACCTACACTCACCTTTACTGGCTCCATCCCCGCCTCTTCGACCTGTCTGTTTCCTCTCCTCTCTATCCATCTTCTATCTGCCTCCCCCTCTCCCTATTTATTTCAGAACCCCCTTCCCCTCCCCCATTTTTGATGAAGGGTCTAGGCCCGAAACGTCAGCCTTCCTGCTCCTATGATGCTGCTTGGCCTGCTGTGTTCATCCAGCTCTGCACCTTGTTATCTCACGGTCTTATTAGTAATTGGCAGACTTCGTACTGCTTTAGTTTCTGTGGATAGATATATTTGAATATTTTCCCATTGTCGGGTAGATGCCACTGTAGTTACATTAGAACAGTTTTCTATAGTTGCAGTAATTTCAAAGCACAGCCCCACAGCACATTAGCCAAATGCTTTGGATCAGTGGCCTTTGGGTCTTCCAGTGCAGTAATCTGGAAACAGACACTAATGTTACAATTAAAATTATAAATTTCTTCGAATCAAAATGGAAATCCTTGTGGCACACCACTGATCACAGGCCTCCAGTGTGAAAAAGCAACCCTCCACCACCACCACTCTGTCTTCTGCCTTTGAGCCAGTTCTGTATCCAAATGGCTAGTTCTGTGTTCCATGTGATCTAACCTTCCTAACCAGTCTACCATGAGGAACCTTGTTGAACACCTTACTGAAGTCCATACAGATTACGTCCACCGCTCTGCCCTCATCAATCCTCTTTGTTACCTCTTCAAATCACTCAATCAAGTTCATGACACACTATTTCCCATGCACTAAGCCATGTTGACTATCCCTAATCAGTCCTTGCCTTTCCAAATACATGTAAATCCCGTCCCCCAGGACTCCCTGCAACAACTTGCCCGCTACTGATGTCAGGCTCACTGGTCTATAGTTCCCTGGCTTTTTCTTACCATCCTTTAAATAGTGGCACCACGATAGCCAAACTCCAGTCTTCCAGCACCTCACCTGTAGCTATTGATGATATAATTATCACAGCCAGGGGCCCAGCAAATACTTCCATAGCTTCCCACAGAGTACTAGGGTACATCTGATTTGGTCCCAGGGATTTATCCACCTTTATATGTCTTCCAAAAGTCTGGAGTGCTAAGTCAAAAATGGCATTCCTTGAGTTAGTATTGAGCTTTATTGAAACATGGTAATAAGCCACAGGCAGAAAGGTCAGAATGGGAGCAAGGTGGAATATTAAAGTGACAAGTGGCTGGAAGCTTACAGTAGCTTGTGTGCAAAATGGTTACAGTCTGCATTTGGTCTCCTCGCTGTGGAGACCAAATTTGGGTTTCCTTACAGGAAGTAAGGTGTAAGAAAGTTTTTAGTTAAGGTTTACTTTAGTTAAGGAGTCCCTGGACATATAGCATGTTTTAGTTAATAAAGGTAAAGGTAATGTGCCATAGTTCCAGAGGATCATGTGTCTGCTCTGAGGGAGAGAGACGACCTCATGAGTCACTGTTTGTTGAAAGCCTGTTCTGAAAAACCTAGATAATCCCAGATGAGTCTTGATTGTTAGGATGGTAAAGTTCTAGAGCATGTTAAGGTTAATAAGGAGGAGGTATTAGATATTTTGGTCGGCATAAGAGTGTATGAATCTCCAGAGCCTGATGAGGTGCATTCCAGGCTGCTTTGGGAGGCAAGGGAGGAAATTGTTGGGGCCCTGGTGGAGAAATTTAAGACGTCGCTAGCAGTACATGAAGTGCTAGATGACTGGAGCATAATTAACGTGGTTCCTTTGTTTGGGATAGGGGGCAGCAGGGATAGGCTAGCTAGTCTGACAACAGTGGTAGGGAAATGATTGGAAAAAAAATTGAAATACAGGATTAGCCAACACTTGAAAAGGAGGGATTGTCAGCACCAATTTGATAGAGGGAGATTCTGTCTGACTAATTTAATTTAATGTATTTATTTATTTGAAATTTATTTTGAAGAAGTGACAAAAATATTGAGGGTATTGCAATTGACATGGTCTATATGGACTTCAGTAAGGCCATTGTCATAGTCCCACATGGAAGACCAAAAGATAAGAGCCCATGGGATCCAAGTCAAGTTGGCAAACTGGATCCAAAACTGTCTCGCAAATAGGAGGCAAGGGGTGGTGGTGAAGGGTTGTTTTTATGACTGGAAGCCTACGACTGGTAGCGTACTACAGGGATCACTGCTGGGACCCTCATTGTTTGTAACATACATTAATCACTTGGATGTGAATGTAGAAGCTATATTGAGTACATTTACGGATGACCATGAAAGTTGGTGTGTTAAAGAGGAGGATGGTCTCGGGCTACAGTATAATATTGATCAGCTGGTAAATTGGGCAAGCAATGGCAGATGGAGTTTAACCCTGTTAAGTGCAAGGTGATGCATTTTGGGAGTTCAGGAAGGGAAGTGCTATACTATGAATGGTAGGTCCCTAGGGAGTATTGAGGAACAAAGGGACCTTGGTGTATAACTCCATAGATCCCTGAAGATGTCAGCACAGGTAGACAGGATGGTAAATATGGGATATTTTCCTTCATTATCCGAGACAGAGAATTTAGCAGCAAGGAAGTCTTGTTAAACCTTTTATAAAACATTGGTTAGGTTACAGATAGAATGTGCAGTTCTGGTTGCCATACTACTGGAAGGAAATGATTGCATTGGAGAGGGTGCAGAGGAGAACTACCAAGATGATGCTGAGGATGGAAAGTCTCCGTTATGAGAGGAGACTGGATAGGCTGTGTTTAATTTTTTTTTCCTGAAACACAGGGGGGCGAGGTGGATCTGGGTGAGGTATACAAACTTGTGGCAGACCGGGTAGATTGAGAGGATCTTTACACCATGGCAGATGTGTGTCTAAGACCAGAGGGCATAAGTGTTAGGTTAGGAGTACATAGGTTAGAGGGGATCTGAGGAAATTTGTTTTCACCCCGAGAGTGGTAGAAATATGGACCGTGCTGTCTGAGAGAGTGGTGGAGGCAGGAAGTTTCTCCACATTTAAAAAGCATCTGGAAAGGTGCTTAAAATGCCAGGGCATAGCGGGCTATGGACCAAGTGCAGGTAAATGGGATTAGTATAGTGTTGGTGTTGGCTTAGACATAATGGGCTGAAGAGCCTGTTTCTATGCTATACGACTTTATGACTATTTGAGAAATCCAGAGATGGAAGAGTCAAAGATGGACGGCTGAAGCTGGGAGAAGTATGGAATTCTGACAAAGCCAGTTAAATTTTCGATTCATGGTGACCACAGGAAACAGCACAGATGCAGTCATTTAGCGCACTAGGAAAGGAGATGAGGGCAGTGAGCCCGAGAAGGGCAGTAATAAATGATGTTTTCCATAATCCCATAAAAAGAGAGGCATTGATGAATCTGTGTTAATACCCAGACAAATAGGTTTTCTTTGGCAGAAGTGAATGAAGTCAAATGAGTAGTTGCTTAATATGAGAACTGATTCAGGCAGGCAGAGGAGGCTGTTGGTAAATGGTAACTGATTGGCCTCTGCTCAGGGAAGACCTGGAAAGCCCTTAAATAATTTTGGTTGGAAATAGATGTAAAGGAATTGGCCATCCAAGGTGAGCTGCCAAAAAGTTACATTGGACTCGATGTTAATTTGTTTCTATCTCCACCAATGTTGCCAGACCTGCTTTATCCTGCACTTCATTTTACTTTGAAAACTTTGACCTTGTAGTTTGACATTGCCTGAAACTCATTAATTAGATATGCTGCTTTATAACATCCTAATAGCTATCTATTATCCTCTGTAATTGCCTTTAGTCCTTAATGACAACAGTTTAATGACCAGCTTGATGAGTGATTTCAATAATTTGCAACATTTTTAAGTGTTATTTTATGGGTGATTATTTGACATTTCAGATTGATGAAAAGAGCCATGTTACTGAGATGAAAAATCCAACTGAAGAGGTAAAAATGCATGAGAAAGCATGGACTGCTAAGGGACAGTCAAATCCAAAACCCATTCCTCGATCCAATTCTGGAAGTGTCACTGGCTGGGTAAACGGTTCTCTCAGGTATAGATCTTTTGCATTCTGGTTTATAATGTATCACTATATAAATGCATGTCTCTATAAGCAAGCATATGGTACTATGTGGTCTATATTGAAAAAAATTGAGTTTAATGTAATTCTGCCCAAAATGTTTCTAAATTGTACGTATGTTGGATGGATTAGGTAACGAAGAGGTTCATTAACAACAACAGCAAATTGCATTTCTGTAGCATTTTTTAATGTAGAAAAACATGTCAAAGCATTTAAGAGGGATAACAAAGGATATTGAGCCAAAGAGTATGTGGCCAAGAACAGAAGTTGCTGGAAAAGCTCAGCAGGTCTTGCAGCATCTGTGGAGAAATAAATCAGAGTTAAGTTTTCGGGTCTGGTTGGTTAACTGTTGGTTCTGAGGAAGGGTCACCAGACCTGAAACGTTATTTCTGATTTTTGTTTCTCCATAGCTGTTGCCATAGTTGCTGAATCTTTCCAGCAACTTCTGGTTTTGTTCCTGATTTACAGCATGCGCAGTTCTTTCGGTTTTTATTTAGTATGTGGCCTAAACATTGTTAAAGTGGCTGATTGCAAGGATAATCTTAAGTGAGGAGAGAATGAACTTGTAGAAACATAGAGGATCAAGATGTGGTTAATCTCTTAAATCAATTTAGCATATTTTTCATGAAGTCCAAAAATTCTGAAGTGTAATTTTGGCATTTCAATTCATAATAGAATATTGAAAATTTGCAGCACTTAAGGCTATTCAGTGCTTCATGTCTGCTGAGTAATCATCATGCCTGATCCAGCTTTTATTCAGTACCCTTGTGGGTTAGGGCATTTCAAGTGCTCATTCAAGTTCTTATTAGCGACTTTGCGAGTTTCCGCCTCTACTATATTTTCACGTGCTGAGATCCAGATCTCCTGATTCGAAGGGTGGAAAAATTCCCCTCTAGACCTGCATCCAGTTACCCTAAATTTATGCCACCCTTTACCTGAGAGAAATAGATATAGCAGACATGAAAATTCTATCTAGATCCTTCGGTTTCATAGACTTCATTTAGGTCTTCCATTGGTTTTCCTCTGTTCCAAAGAAAACAACCCTTGTCTATCCCATTTTGCCTCAACAAAAATTCTTCAGTCCGAGCAATATCCTCTTAAATGTCCCTGCACCTTCTTTAGTGCAATCATCATCTTCCCTAACCAGTGTTTTATACGTTTGAAGCATAACTTTTTTGCTCTGTGTCTTGGCTAATAAAGGCAAGTATCCTGGATACCTTCCTGGTCACCTTATTTACCTGTCTAACCACCTTCAAAAATCTGTAGACACACTCTTTCTGAAGTCCCTATGTTCCTGCACACTTGTCAGTGTCCTGTGATTTCAGTCCCTGGTTCTGCCTTCATTGAAATTTTTTTGAGTGGGTAATAAGGATGGTCATCCAGGGTAGTCAGCTACAACTTTCCTTAAGAAATCAGTGCTAACTGTCTGATAAATTTAGAAGGTGGTGTGAATTAGATTTAATCCTGTCTCTAAATTTTTTCCATTAATTTTTGTAGCACTAATGTTAGGCTGACTGGCCTGTAATTATTCAAACTACCCCTTTCTCCCTCTCAAGCAAACTACAACAATATTTGTCCCCCATGCTTCTAGCACCTAGAACTTGGAAGCGTTGAAAAATGGAAAAAGAAAGTTCTTTTGTTTTTCTCCCTTTAATTTCTGCTTTAAGTCCTTGACATTCAGGGAATTGTTCATCACAAGCATTTTCTTTAACAGACTATATCCTTATTATCCCTTCCTTGAAGGCCTGCCAGGGATTTGCACACCTGTTTGAGGACATCCCAAAAGCATGTCTTAAGGCATTTCTAGAATGATCTATTGTGCAGTGATTAAGGAAAAACTTTCTAGGGTCAACATGTGTTTTGGACTGGAACACAGAAATGGGCAGGACTCGTTTCAATTGATAACAGTGGAACTAAGTACCAGGCAGGCTATGTAAGAGGTAGCCGATGCAGTACTGCTGACTAGAACTCCTGCTCAAGAATCTCGTCAAAGTCTCCCTTTCCAGTGCTCTTCCATCTCTCTTCAAAGCCATCATGTTTTCTGCTGCCTCTTTCTACCCAAGTCCTAGTGCAGCTTGCTCATTTCTAAGGTTTTGTTGCTTCCCCTGGTGTGACAAATTTTCTGGCTATCAGTCTGTCTTCCCCTCTAGCTGGCTGGCTACCCGTTGTCCATCTCCTGTACAAGGCTACCTAGCTCCCTCTCCATGTCTGTCTATTCCCCTGTGTTCTTTTTCTGACTCTTTCTCTTCAGATTTAAAAATTATCCCATTTCAACTTGAAACGTGAATCATTGCCTTGGTCTTTTTCTTATTAAGCCAGAAACGATTTAAGTGTGACCCAGGGAATGTTGCTGCACATCCTAAAATAAATCCTTTTGTTTAGTCCTACAAGTCCTCCCACTGTAGGCCTACGAGCTATTATGGAAATGGAAGAAAATATTCAAAAATGTGAAAATGTACCAAAGACTAATGCAAGGTGAGTGTAAAACTTTATTGTTGTCAAACTTAATATTCTCAGTGTACTAATTCATATTTTTTTGCCTCTATTCTTTCACCCACTAGAGCTTTGTTCCAATCAGCTTTGGGTTTGCGGAAAATAATTGTGTAAGCAGGTCTGTGAACTTTGTCATGTCACTCAAGCTACTACAAATGGCCATCTGTCTCACCATTGATTAAACCCTAGGCCTTTATAAAGTTATTCTTCACTTGTTTTCAAAGGTTAAAGGCCTCAATACCTCTAAACATTAGTGGACTACATAACATGTACCCCACCACTGGTTAAGTAAACAGTAGAAGCAGGTAGGCAATGGATACATTGCTATACCACCCAATTTTACACTCCTGATCTACTGATCCTCTCCCGAGGGGACAGGCATAATATTTTAACCAACAACTAGAAAACCCTGGTATGGTAGTTCAGTCAAGCAAAGATTAGGCTGAGGCTGTAGCCTTAAGCAACTGCATGGCATCGTAGGCTAATGAGAATAGCAAGTTTGGTTTAGCACAAAGTGCGGCTGTTTGCACTATATTGTATGTTACAATCCAGCTTGAAAAACCACACATTGAATGTAATAAGAGACAGGAGTTGGTTAACCTTCATCCCATACGTGGAGGCAGTTTTACACCCCCTCCTTCCCGTCTCTACATTTATAATATATGCACTTTCTACAGAATACTAATAAAATCCATACTGAATATAAAGAAATACAAAATGCAGGAAAAAAATGTGTTTTCTAGTTCAGTCAATTAGGTTATGGTGTGGAATTATAATTACATTTTTGTAGCATTTATTGGTTGCAAACTTTGGAATTGCTGAGATGGAGCTCGGTTAGAGTGGAACATAGAGTTTTGAGCTTTGAGTTTCTTTTGAATCAAGAATTTTTTCCTCCTTCATTTCATCTGTCTGCACATCAAACAAACAGGTGTTATAGGTTCCTCTATGCTGATTCTATATCCTGTGTTTGAACACAGAAATGTACATTGGTTTTGAAGCTTGTTTCGATACTGGTTACAGAGCCTGAAACGGTGGAGTGATGAGATTAATATCTGAAAGGCTGCAGGCGTATTTTCTTTTGATGTTACCACTGGGAATCTAAGAGAACAAATAAAGGCTACTCTTTTCTGTTGTCACATGCCGTGTATATCTTTTATCAGCATTGATTGACAGCTACATAAAGTACTTCTGCTGTGTCTACTAAACATTGGTGTTGAGATCTGATTATTGCACAAAATTAATTCGGCAAAAAGGTTTAGAACCTCCTACTTGGTGCTTCCCTTCTAAATTGACAGTTTTGGCTCCTAAAGTCTATGAAGATTACCGCTGTAAGAGAGAAAACTTGGCTATCAAGTAAGATTTTTGTTCTTTGAATGGTACCCTCTTGTATCACCGACTTATTCAGGCAAAAGAAATGGTATTGCCATACATTAACCAGATCTTTATCCAACATGAAATTAGTGTGTCAGAAATAGAAAGGTTTTCATTATACATGATGCAAATTTTACGGTTATGCTTTAGTATATAATTTCCTTTATCAATTGGACAGTCTCATGGAATGTGAACAACTTCAGAGATTAAATAAGTAAAAATGTTAAAATAGATTTTGTATAGTAAATATTGGAACTCTTTAAGTAATTGTAAATGTGTAAACACCAGATGAATTTGTTTTAATTTCTAGATTGACTGAAATGTAGGATTGTGGATTTTTCTTGATTATCTGCTAATTCCTTTTGATATTCAGTGTAAAATTTGCACTATAAAATCTATGTAACATTGCAAAAGCGGTTTATTTGATTGTTTAACTGTAATATTTTCCCAGTGGAAATAAGTCGTTATGCCATGGAGTGAAGCTTTCTCAGAAGCAAAGGAAGATGATTGCGATGGCAGCTAAAGAACCAAGCACAAACTGCAGACTGGACACCACATCTATGAAATTAAATTTGCCTGCACCATTAACCCTATCAAAGACAGGAAGTGTTTGGTAAGTTCACGTGTTAGCAGTTGAAAGAATGCAAAATACATTTATTTTGTCACATTTAAAGGGTTTGATCCATTTCCTGATATGTTAAGCTTAGAAACTCGGTCAATGCCCTTGCTTGAGATAACATTCTTTCTATAGGAAAAGAAGATCATGAAGCTAGAAAGGTTTCAGAAAAGATTTACAAAATGTTGCCAGGGTTGGAGGGTTTGAGCTATAGGGAGAGGCTGGATAGGCTGGGCTTTTTTCCCTGAAGAGTCAAAGGCTGAGCGGTGACCTTGTAGAAGTTTATAAAATCATGATGGCCATGGATAGGGTAAATAGGCAAGGTCTTTTCCCAGGGGTGGGGGAGTCTAAAACTAGAGGGCGTAGGTTCAAGGTGAGAGGGAAAACATATAATGCGGCCCTAAGGGGCAACTTTTTCACGCAGAAGGTGGTGCGTGTGTGGAATGAGCTGCTAAAGGAAGTAGTGGAGGTTGGTACAATAACAACATTTAAAAGGCATCTGTATGGGTATATGCGTAGGAATTGTTTAGAGGGATATGGGCCAAATGCTGGCAAATGGGACTAGATTTATATAGGATATCTGGTCAGCATGGATGAATTGGACCGAGGGGTCTGTTTCCATGCTGTACATCTCTATGACTCTATTGTCAACTGGGTTTGCATGTCAGTTGCAGCAAGTACGCTTGCCACTTTGAGTCAGTTAGAGAGGATCTCTGGTGTAAAGCCTTCCAACTGGGACGTGAAGTTTGAAAACTTAGTGGAAAATGCCTTATTTAATGTAGACTTTCTGCTTCTTTTGTAAGACATGAGGAATTCTTTCTTTTTGTTTGTGTCACTTTTAGTGATAGATTTGTTAATTGATGCTGAACACTTTCACTCAGGGCGACTCCTTTCAATGATTTCGCTTCTCCCAAATCATTCCGCGAACTACTGATGGAAGAAAAGTCAACAGAGAAAGCAAGTGACACCCCGCCATCAAACTCATTGGATAATAATTATAAACAACAAGAACAGCTGAGCAACAAATATGAACAACCTACCAGGTGAAGAATGATAAAATCCTGTTTACTTTTTAAAAACCATTGTAATGATTTGCTAAATAAATTAAGTAATTTGGTCAGCACGTAAATCAGTTAATAATCAGATAGTACGTTTTCTTCCTTGGAGCTTCTAATTTCAAAAATATCCCTCTCAAGCTAAGTTTCGACTGACTATACCACAATCCTTTTGGCATTCTGCTCCTGAATGTGCATAGCATAGCATTTATAAATATTCACTTGATATTAGGGGGACACGGTGGCTCAGTGGTTAGCACTACTGCCTCACAGCACCAGGGACCTGGATTCAATTCTACCCTCGGGAGACTGTCTGTGTGGAATTTGCACATTCTCCCCATGCCTGTGTGGGTTTCCTCCGGGTGCTCCGGTTTCCTCCCACAGTCCAAAGATGTGCAGGTTATGTGGATTGGCCATGCTAAATTGCCTGTAGTGTTCAGGGATGTGTAGGTTAGGTGGGTTATAGAGGGATGGGTCTGGGTGGGACGGCGTGGACTTGTTGGGCCGAAGGGCCGGTTTCCACACTGTATGGGATTCTATGATTCTATTCTATGATAAGCTTTAGCTATCCTGCCATTTTAATATTTCAAACAGTGCCTTTGGACCTTAATTTTGTTTGGAGCATATGTTTCGAGTACCATTGATTTATGCTAAAAATATAATGCAACTTTATTTTAAAGTAATATTTTTATCTCACCGCTCACCCACAATTAAAATAAGCAGAAGTTGTTTTCTCTTCCCATTGCACAACATACAGCTGGATTGTTTGAGGGAGAAACAACCTCACTATTATTTGAAGTTGTGTTGAAGTGACAGAGATGCTGTCCCTCTTTTTGACTATTATTTACAATGAGGGGATGTTCATTCAGCTTTAAAGGAAAATGCACGTGACCGGCTTTCCAGTGAGATTTAATTTAAAAACTTGTTTCAATTAAACTTCCATGAAGTTGTTCATGTGCCATCATCCATGTACCATTTCTATAGTTTAGTTTCTAAATCCATCAGTTAACTCTTAACTGTTCATAAGATACTATTTTTTGAGTAAATATTTAAGTTCGGCTAGTTATTATGAACTCAGAAATAATTTGATTAATACTTTGCACATCTTTTCCCTGCTGTCAGTTATGAATGTTGATATTAGGAAACTTTTAATGTAGATCTAAAATTTATCAAGAGTTCAAACAGTAACTTGGGAGGAGGGCTCCAATATTACTGAAAAGAGAGACATGTTGCTGAAGCTTTTGGTCTTGCGTTAGTCAGGATGAATACAAGAATGCCAAATTTTGAATGAGCACAATTTATACTAAAGGAGAACATGATGCTATTTGGCAGAGATGTTTGGAGAAAACAGTGGGCAGCTAATTGAATTCCCAAGCTCTATAATAATTGTAATAAAGGCAGAAGGCTTTAACATATTCCTTTTGTTTGCAGAAAGTGTTCATATGCAGGAAACAATATTGTTTCTAACAAGCTTAAATGAACAACATTGAATTGAGCTGATTATCCTGGATTGGTTGTTAGTGTATTTATTAGCACACTCGGGATTCTTCATCAAATACTATCCAATCTTAGGAAAACATTTTACATAATATTTGGGTTTTGCAAATGTGGTTAGTGTATTCTCTACTATATAATGAACAACCTAGGGAAGATCACCCAATCAATCAGATGTACTAGCAATATACCTGGCATCACACAGTAACTGAAATTTACATACAGCATTACTCACTTGTGTGGTAGACTGTCTTTTTTGAATTAATGGAAGCGTCCTGTGGGGGGACAAAAGTCTGTAGCTATTGCGATGTAATCTGCTTAATGTGTTCAAATTTTTGGAATGCTTTTTTTCCAAAATAATTCGTGGTAGACCAAGTATTTCTCAGGTCTGAAAATAAGTAGCCTTTGACCCAATTACAGGCTTGTGCCATATACAGCAGGCAGTGATCAGATCAGGATTGTCCTGCCAAAGATCTTTGATGTCCTCACCTTCTGTCAAGCCTGCAAGGTGAGCAAATGCCTTGGGCCTATTTCTAAAATTGCTGAAAATGCCAATCTTTTTAGCACATGGGGTTATACAAATCCCAGTGTCTATATTAACTGATGGTGATAGGATTTGAGAAGTTGGAAGGGTTTCTAAATTGATACTGAACCTGTTTGGTTGCATTTTGAATGTCTCTTCTTTGGCCATTGCTTCATTGGAATTGGACTTGAACCTGAAATTTCTGGCTCAGAGGCAGGGATGCTGTGTCCTGCATCAGAATACTTCCCAAGGACAAATCTGTCAGCTAAAGTTTGCAATCTCATTATCCTGGCCAATTCAGTGCTATTGAAAATGCTGATCCAGCTTAAAAATTTCAGAATTATTTAATGCTATACTTTATATGAAGTTCACTGAACATATTCCATCAGTTTGACTATTAGCACACTTTTAATATGATGAAGTATCACTGTACACTATAATTTTTGTCTGGCTCATCAATGATGTCTGGATAAGTTGTTGGGAAATTGTGACAAAAAAATTAAGAAAAGCAGAAATACTTAGACTGATGGATCTGATTGTATTTCGTTACATGTGACAATAAAAATCAGTGAAAAGCTTTGTTTACGAGCAGTACAGGCAGATCACAGCAAGCAAAGGATGTACAGCTCAAAAAGACTTAGCAGCATACAGGTTACATTGTTTGAGGCTAGAGTCCATTAAACAGACTGATAACATTCGGAAAGAAGCTGTTCCTGAATCTGCTGGTGTGTGTGCTCAGGCTTCTGTATCTTCTGTCTGACGGAAGAGGTTGTAGGAGATCATTACTAGGGTGCAATGGATCTTTGATGTCGGCCACCTTTCCGCGGTAGTGGGCCGTGTAAATAGAGCCCATGGATGGAAGGTTGGCTTCAATAAAGCTCTGGGCTGTGCACACCACTTCCCGTAGTTTCTTATGGTCCTTGGCAGAGCAGTTGCTATACCAGGCTGTTATGCACCCAGACAGTATGCTTTCAGTGGTGCATCCGTAGAAGTTGGTGATGGACCTTTTATGGACATGCCAAATTTCCTGAGCTGCCCGAGGAAGAAGAGGCATTGTTGTGCTGCCTTGACTGTCGCATTTACATGAGAAGTCCAGGACAGGTCGTCTGTTATCGTCACTCCACGGAACTTGATACTCTTCACTCTCGCAAGCTCAGTTCTGTTGATGTATATAGGGGCGTGTTTTCCTTTCTTTCTGAAGTCGCTGATCAGTTCTTTTAGTTTTACCGGCATCGAGAGAGCGGTTGTTTTCATTACACCAGGTCACCAAGCCCTCCATCACCCTTCTGTATTTTGACTTGTTGTTGTTAGATATCCGTCCCACTATGGTGGTGTCATCAGCAGACTTGTAGATGGCGTTCTTTTGGAATTTAGCAACACAGTCGTGGGTGAGTAGGGGGCTGAGGATGCATCCTTGGGGGGTGCGGGGGAGCTCCAGTGTTAAGTGCTATTGTGGAGGAGGTGCAGTTATCTATTCTCACTGATTTGCAGTCTGTGGGTCAGAAAGCTGAGGATCCAATTGCAGAGGGCAGGACCGAGACCAAGGTCATATACAGTTTTGAGATCAGTCTGTGGTATTCGTCTGAAACATAATTTTGAAGCTCTGCTGAATCTGATCTGTTTTAAGGTTGCTTGTTAAGTATTTTAACATTGCTGTTCAAGTATTTCCTGTGGGTATGTAACGAACATCATTATCTGGTGCCAATATTCTGTTTTATCCCCATGCGGTTAAAAACTATTTTTATCCAAATAATCATGCAGTGCCCTCCTGAATGTCACAATTGAATCTACCTGCACCATGTTTTTTTGTACGAGCAGGAACAGCTTCTCAGTATCTACTGTATCCAGCCTGCTCATGGTTCTGAAAGCTTTTATCAAATCTCCTTTCAGCCGTCTTGTCTCCGGAAAACAGCCCCAACTACTTCAATCTATCCTCATAACTAAATTTTCTTATTCCTGGACCCGTGCTTGTAAATCACTTCTGCACTCTCTCCAATGCAATCCCACCTTTCCTGTAATGTGCCCAAAATTATGCACAGTACTCTAGCTGAAGTCTAAGAAATGTCTTGTACAAATTCAACATCATCTCCTTGCTTTTGTACTCTATGCCCTTATTAATGAATCTGAGGACACTGCATGCTTTGTTAATTGTTCTCTGTACTTGTCCTGTTACCTTCAATGATCTGTGCACATTATACACCCAGATCACTTTGCACCTGTACCCCATTTTTTATATTGCTTTCCATGTTATTCCTACCAATGTGCATCTCTTCATTGAACTGCATTTTGCATTCCACTAATTTGTAAGTGTCCTTTTGAAGTTCAAACTAAACGAACTGCGGATGCTGTAAATCAGAAACAAAAACAGAAATTGCTGGAAAAGCTCAGCAGGTCTGGCAGCATCTGTGGAGAGAAAGTGGAGTTAATGTTTTGGGTTGAGTGATCCTTCCTCAGAACTGGAACTTCTTTTTGAAGTTCCACTTCTTCACGGTTTACATTCTTCTGAGGTTTACGTTATCTACAAACTTGGGAACTGTTCCCTGCACACCAAGATCCAGATCATTTAATATATATCAGGAAAAACAAGGATCCCAATTCTTCATTACAAACCTATCTCCAGCCCAAAAATATCTGTTGACCTTTACCCTGTTTCTTATCACTTAGCTAATTTTATATCCACTTTGCTACATTCCCTTTTATACCACGACCTATAACTTTCCTCAAGTCTGTTGTCTGGAACTGACTTCTGGAAATCCACGTATACCACATCAACAGTGTTACCCTCATTGAGCCTTTCTGTTAACTGTTCAAAAATCTTCAGCAAGCTAATTAAACGCAATTTCCCCATTAGAAATCCAGACTGACTCTTGTTAATCAACTCATCTTTTTCCATGTGACCATAATTCTAAATAAATGATTGTTTCTATATTTGCTAGGACTATCCTGGAAATATTTCTTGAACAAAGCTGTA